TCTATGTATGTATATGTAGTTTTAAAAGTGAATAGTTTCTTGGCAAATCTGTGTAGCATCCCTCCAAGAAAGTGTAACATGAGTCTACAGCAGATTCCATCGATGATGCAATAATGCTTGAGAAGATGGTCGTATTACTTCAGCAAAGTGTGCCACCAATTTGTGCAACATGTTTTTAAAAAAAGTATAGCATGAAACTCAGGTTATTATCTAGGACATGGCCGAACATTTCAAAAATTGGAACACACAGTCTACAAAAAGGTGCAGATGGCTGAAAGTTACCAAAACACAAAAAACTTTGAAAAAACAAAAAAAAGTTTCAGAGAGTCTTGGCTGGGACCCCCCCTTCCAAAGAGTCTAGAAATATTGTGTTTTTTTTCTTTTTTCCAAGGTTTTTACCAAGTGTGGGGTACTTCGAGGAAACTGGCATGAATCACAGGCAAAGCTGTCAAAGTGCCTTGGGGAATGCAGTAAAACATCTCAAAATATCATCTTAAATCATGGGAAAACTGCACTCCCAGGGGCTGCCGTTCTGCAGAAGAAAGCCAAGAAGCATCATGAGTGGATAAACGACAGCCAAACACACGCGAATGAGAGCAATTAGGGATAACAGCAATGCCAGGACCTATCCTTTAGTTTTCTGTTTGGGGGGGAGCTGAGAGCTCCTAAAAGCAAAAGTAGTTCATTGTTTGGGATGCGTTAGAGAAGGGATGAAGCAGAATTGATGTGGATTAATCTGGATTAATCCTGGGATGCAAAACTTCGAAAAAAACAAAAAAAAAACAACTAGTCCAGACATCAGAGTAGTTGTGGAATTTTTTTTTTTTGTTTTTTTTGTTTTTTTTGGTTCGCTCCAGTCGAAAGGAAGAAGTCACGAGTCAATCCGCGAATCTTTGCAGGACTAAGCACTGCGAAGACGACAATTTTGCAGTTCGGGTTAGACGATTGCGCAGTTCGAATTGGAGGATTTTTGTAGTTCGGGTTAGACAGCAGACAGCAGACATTGGTTGCTTAGTATATCAAATGATTCGTCCTACTCACACAGGCTGTTTTGAGCGCAAAAAAACATGAAACCATCCATAGTATCAAGGCTACATATCCCCAAAATTTCGTTCTTTTAGCGCTCACAACACCCCTTTCTGAATTAAAAATGATGTCACTGTTCTCCGTCACTGGAATGATGGTTAGTAATAGGAGTCATTCCCAAATTCAAATGGTCGCAAGTTTCAGCTGTTTTCAGGTTAGTGAAGTTCTACAATTCATCCAGATTAATCCAGAGTATAGTTGTTTTTCGAAGAAGGATAAGGGGGCCCAAGGGCTACCAGGCAACAATTGATGGTGTAAGGGAACCTCATGTTTCTCAAGATGTTTTTGCCCCAAGAATCGTTGGAATTTCAGGCCTGGGGTCCTGCAATTAAATCACTGAAATCAAACATGGAAAGCATGAAACATGGATTTACATGCTTCCTTTTCCGGAGGATTAAGCTGGTAGTAACTTAGTTTGCCACATCTAGATACATTTAGGATATCCTCTGATTATTTAACATAGCCATGGAAAATGGCCCATTTATGGATGATTTTCCGATAAAAACTTCCATTTATAAGGGATTTTCCATGGCTATGCTAAATAACCAGAGGGTATATGTTGGTTTGCCATGAACAGTTGTCCAGCTGCAACGTGTTTGGATGCAGGCCCCGCTACGCCGCCGCGACTCCGGCAGCACGCATTGACCATGCAATGCAGCGAGACGTTGTGTGAAGTCAGATGTGTTAGCGCTTGGTCGCCTTGGCCGCTGATAAGACTCGTTTTGATCGGCAAACATGGTGGGTTACCCGTGGCTATAGAACTTGTGGAAATCATGTTTAAAGGTCTTATAAGACATATGCGTTAAGTATAAACAACATCACTGGTTGGTGCTGTCTTTTAGCAGTAAGCAACGGGGATAAACATCGAGTAACAGGGTTCGGTGAGTTCGGTTATAAAAATAATTTGTGATCAATTGTGGGCGGACATCCAGCCCAGGCTCATGTCAATGGGGTGCATTGGGGTGCATGAGAACTGCTTGAAAAAAACAACACTGAAGGTGTTTTTTTCCACTAGACTCTAGACATTGCAAAAAGATGGACTTATTGAACATATCAGACATATTACATATTGTACGTTTCCTTGTCATGTCTTCAAGGCCCAACGGCTATCAACGGCTAAACAAACCTCCAAAGGAAAAGATCAGGTGCTTTGACTTTATATGGGCAGCAAAGTCCCACTGTGAGGGTTTCCCGCTTAAAACGAGCCATACAGGGCTTCTCAAGACCAGATGCCCTTGGACTTGTCAGCTTTCGGAAGTCACCGTCACCTACGGGGTGCAGTTCCAGTAATAAGTGGGTTATATAAGTTATACAGCCAAATGTTGTAGGGGTATGTAGGGGTATGCAGGGGTTATATCCCAACTTATCCCCAACTGCACCCCCGCCCTGCATTTTCTTTGTGAGCCTTGTATTTCACAGATACATGGGTTATAGCAAACAGGAAAAAACACTGGCAGCCGGGGAAGTCAGCTGGAATTGATTGGCCATCGGCGCAGCCAGTGGAAGTCAAAATAGCGATGCGAAAGATAGCACGGATACCTTGGGTATAACCTTGGTGCACAGCAAAGAACACACGGAAGCTTCCAAACTTGATCTGGAACATTGTCGATACTGTACATGATCATATGATATCATATGATTGTTTCTGTCTTAGTCTTTAGAGGTGTATCGACTTGGGGGATTATCACATCAACCAATCTAGCCGCCAAAACCAAAAAAATGTCATTTTGAGCGTCCAAAACCGAGAAATCAGCAACTGTTGAACCGCTTGGGATCATCGACCTCTGGGACGGTGACTATGGCGGTTTAGCAGCACATTACAGAAAAAAAAACGCGAAGAATGATGATAGAATCCACAGATGGCGAGTCAAGCCACTGGTGAAGGGTAGGTTCATTTTACTATTTCTGAATCCGTTCCGCAAATTTGGGGAATAGTCTTTTGCCGAATTAAACGACACATGCAGGGTAAGGGTAGCCATGTATATACCAGGTCTGAAGTATGATAGCCTAAAAAGATGTAAAGGATCAGGCAGCCCTCCAAACTTTACCTTGCGCATCTTGAAATATCGCTCTGATCCGGGTGAAACATCCATTGTATGACGCTTTCTTTGTAATTGTAGATCTATGTGGTATCTTGGTCTTGGCATAGGTTCCCCTAGCAATGAATAACCCCACTTGAATCCATGCCAGCTGCGAGTTGCGAGACTGATCAGATATATATATTCAGATCCGCCTCCGTCAAAGACGTTGGGCTGTTTTTTTTCCTCCCTGCTGTCGCATGGCAGTCACCCACTGGCGCTGCTGCTCTAGTAATGAATGCATGCATTACTTCATCCTATACATAAATCTTGTGGTTTCCATGAGGCCTCATGAAATTGCATTACACGTTAGTCACAGTCATTCCGTCGCCAAAAAGTGTCTTTCAATCTGCATTCTTACACTATATTTTATAATGTACTTTCCCTGCGTATGTTGATGTTTTTGGGTTGCAGGGTGGCTGCCTTGCGCCTAGGGGCCTAGATCCTGCAGGTCCGTAGCACCAATTAATTGCTTGGGCCCCCCTGCGATGGGGGCGCCTCTCGACGAAACATTAGCGCTACGTAGATTAGTCACGAAAAAGGCGGTGAAAGACTGGCAGGAACCACGGGGATCGCAATCGAGATTTGGGCGCGCGGGACCCACATTGCTACATCGTAGCCCAGTTCTTAATGCAATAGTTCCAGGGATACCCTCTGGTAAACTAACATAACTATGGAAAATCACAATTTTATATTGGGTAAATCAACTATAAATGGGCAATTTTCCATAGCTATGTTTGTTTACCAGAGGGATATGTTGGTTACAAAATGATGTAACTAACGGGGACCCGCATCCAACTGCATCATCCAGTCTTCCGTGTCAACCCTGGAGGAATGTCAAGCGAGTCAAGCCTGGTTGAGAACCACTTTCAATCTGTGGGATGATTTTCCAAGTGCAGCAGTAAGACCCACTTGTTCCTTGTTTTTTTGCATGCAGCACGTTGTTGAATCCACCCATTACATGAAAATCATGAAAGAACCCCAACCTTGGGCTATGGATTAAATAAATACCATGAAGCAACTACTTGTGGACTGTATCATGTCACGTGGCGGGAGTTTATCATAATGTCATAATGATAACCATCTATAAACATAAATCGACATTTATGAACACTAACAAAAAACTCTATGAATAAACATCAACCCAAGCCTTTGGCTAGACTCCTGGAGATGGCGATGGAGAAGAAGAAACATCAACCCCAAGACCAACATTCACGACAGTAATATTTACACAATCAACATCAACCCGGGTAAATTATAACGGCCTCGCTATGCCTCACTGTTCTCACTCACTGGAATCATCGTTAAGCAAGGGGAATTATCCCAATAATATAGCCGAACATTCCAGGTTTGTGAGCTATTACAATTTACCCAGACATATGGAGGTTTCCTAAAATGGGTGTACCCCAATAGCTGGATGGTTTATTTCATGAACACGCCCAAACATTTCGTCGAAAAACTATGAAAATCAAAAAGCACTGCCATGGCGCAAGGGCTATGGACAATCCTAAAATAAGATGGATGATTCAGAATGATTCATAAAGCCATAGGATCCATGGTGCTGCTATATATGGTGTGCCATGGATCCCATCAATATACCCCATTCATGTTAGCATATATATATATAATTATATATATACAGCACCATGGATCCGTCATGGGAAAATCCCATTGAAATAACCAGTTATAAGATGTTATAAGTACTATACCCCATTTATAGAATTCTATAAATGTATAGTAAACCCAATCAACCATAGTAAACCCAATTAGAAACCTCCAATTTTGGATACTTTGGCTACCACCCATGGCCAACGCGTCGCCGCGTCGCGTCGCCAGGCGCCTTAGCCTCGCTGGAGCAGCAGCTGGGGCCCCAAGCGCGGCTGCTGGCGACCAGCGCCGAGGCCACCGGGAGAGCACCGGGATTTGAGCACCAAAATCCATCCAAATTGTTAATTATAGTTAATGATGGTTAATCTTTTTTTTATAATGATTAATAGTGGTTAATTAATAATGGTTAATTATCTGATTGGTGGTGACTGGAACATGTTTTATGACTTTCCATTCAATTGGGAATGGAAAAGAATCATAATCACATCCCAACTGACGAAGTCCATGATTTTTCAGAGGGGTAGGTATACCACCAACCAGATCATGTGTTTCATGATCATTTTATATGTCCAAATGTGTCTAAATGTGTTCGCAGAATGAAACAAATCTATGATCTTAAAACATGAACATCTTGGGAAAAGCCATTTTTTTTGAAACTGAATCTCTCAAAAATTATTAGTAATTGTTTTTTGTTTCCATATTTTCGCTTCCACAGATTGCCATTTTGGGAGGTATACCCTCCAAGAATTTTCCTATAAAACAAGACATGTGTAGGGGATCTTCTAGCTAGCCATGGTTGATCATGTACCACAAGGCAACCATGGAAAATATAGGGAAGTCATCTATATATTTATATGATTGTAATATATAATGTATATTGACATATAGGTGATTTTCATGATGTACCAACCCCAGAATCATATTGTTGGTTTGTTCATACCCACTCCACTAGCTATAATTTAGTATATCTACCATAAACCCAACCAACTTAGCTAACGAACTGGGGCGCCACTTTGCAGACTGTAGAGGAAAAACAAGTATAGTTATATTTGGGTCCATTTATGTCCAGTGATTCCGTGAAGTTTCAATTATTTCTTGTTGGGGTCCATTGTCAATTTGTTGCCCTTTCCGTGTGATATGCAAGTAACGCCCATCAAAGACTTCTTTTGTTCAAGGTTAGCCATGACCATATCAATTGCAAAAAGGTTGACGGGGTGTGCAGCCTTGATAGTTTGAAGATATGTTGTATGGGTTGCTCAACAGAAACCGATGCATGAGGGGCGTCTTCATGGAAACGCGGTCACGCCGGATCATGGATCATGGATCCCAAATTCCGAATTGTTAGTGAATCTGACCAGAAACTATTCATTCAAGCTTCATTTTCAATCTTTCAATCTGGAGTGGAACATGTGTAGCATGGATCCAGAATCAAAAGCCAACCTTTTCCCCCCCTTTGAGCAGCACAGGTGTTGCTCCCGCGCTTGGAGAAGCGCGGCGTGGACGTGGCAGACCTCATTGCCTTGAGCCGGAGCGTCTGGGAAAACGAGACGATGCTTTGAATGGATCGGGCGGTGGCCACTTTATTCCGGAAAAAAATAAAGGTTGTCTTTGTGGGGTAAACATAGAAAAAACTATGGAACATTACCATTTTTAATGGGTAACTCAACTATAAAATCTATAAATGGCAATTTTCAATAGCTTTTTGTATGTTTGCCAGGCCAGGTACATGTTTTAACCATGAAACACCCAACGAAATCACGGGAATTTCGAGGTCAACTTGATGTGATTTTGCTATCTAGTTTCATCACAATACCGCCATTAATGCCCAATGTATTGTCAAAAACATACAGGATGAAATCACCTTAAATAAATACATATATATATATATTTAATTTGCTGATTATGTAATTTAGATTCCATATGTTTCCCTATAAAGTCGTTAAAAAAAAAACGTAGGTATGTAGTGATTTTTCATGATTCATGAGGGGTTCTCTGTATCCCCCTATGTCGCCCTGTGGTGTTCCATAGCTATGTCAGTTGGAGATATGGGATCTAGTTCCTGGATGAATTGCCTTAACTTTTGCAGGTGTCTATAAAAATGGATTATGACCATTATGATTGATTCATGGTTGACTAATGGTATTCTATAAGTTTGGTCATCTTGTTTGCAACCAAGACGCCGAAAAAATGGATTCATTTGGCTGGTGGTTCAATGATTTAATGAGTTTCCACCCTAGCCACTAGCCCTCGCTGCGATGATCTGCTCCTATGTTCCCCATCGCAGGCACCCCAAGCTGTCAAGATGCAACCTGATGGCGTGGGGCTTAGAGTCAGCAAACATCCCTCAGTGCCGCCCTGTCCTTTTTTTACATGGCTTGAAACTGCCGCAACTCTCCCAGAATTGGAAAATCGACAGAAAACCCGATCAACATGGAGGTAAGAAAAAAAAGCAGCGGTTTCCCTGCGATTTTTCTTGAACCAATCCATTGAAACATTGTGAAACCAGATCAACCATGTCTAAAAAAATGGAATCCCATGAAAGAACCATAGAAAATCATAGAAACAACTGTATTTTCATCGGACTCCGAAACAAAAAAATCCACTGTGCCCCTTTTGAACAACCGTGGGCCGCCACGCAGGCAGCGTTCTGTGGGTCGACCGCCGTGGCCATCTACGTCTTCCCGATGGCGCTGGATGGAGCGAGGTGCCGCAAGCGACCGTGTAGACAAGTAGTAACGGTTGTGGGTAAAAAAATGCCATAAACCACCCATGACTGCAATGTGGTCCCCCCAGTTATAAGTTGGTTTATAAGCCCCAGTAACTATAGTTATAAGTACCATAAACCATAGTTATCGGAGTTATAAACCAATTTAGCTATCTTGGTGGCCTCACATTGTGGGAATGGTAAACATACCACCTATTTATGGTGGATGGACATTGCATATTGTATGTTTCCTTGTCATGTCTTCAAGGCCCAACGGCTATCAACGGCTAAACAAACCTCCAAAGGAAAAGATCAGGTGCTTTGACTTTATATGGGCAGCAAAGTCCCACTGTGAGGGTTTCCCGCTTAAAACGAGCCATACAGGGCTTCTCAAGACCAGATGCCCTTGGACTTGTCAGCTTTCGGAAGTCACCGTCACCTACGGGGTGCAGTTCCAGTAATAAGTGGGTTATATAAGTTATACAGCCAAATGTTGTAGGGGTATGTAGGGGTATGCAGGGGTTATATCCCAACTTATCCCCAACTGCACCCCCGCCCTGCATTTTCTTTGTGAGCCTTGTATTTCACAGATACATGGGTTATAGCAAACAGGAAAAAACACTGGCAGCCGGGGAAGTCAGCTGGAATTGATTGGCCATCGGCGCAGCCAGTGGAAGTCAAAATAGCGATGCGAAAGATAGCACGGATACCTTGGGTATAACCTTGGTGCACAGCAAAGAACACACGGAAGCTTCCAAACTTGATCTGGAACATTGTCGATACTGTACATGATCATATGATATCATATGATTGTTTCTGTCTTAGTCTTTAGAGGTGTATCGACTTGGGGGATTATCACATCAACCAATCTAGCCGCCAAAACCAAAAAAAAATGTCATTTTGAGCGTCCAAAACCGAGAAATCAGCAACTGTTGAACCGCTTGGGATCATCGACCTCTGGGACGGTGACTATGGCGGTTTAGCAGCACATTACAGAAAAAAAAACGCGAAGAATGATGATAGAATCCACAGATGGCGAGTCAAGCCACTGGTGAAGGGTAGGTTCATTTTACTATTTCTGAATCCGTTCCGCAAATTTGGGGAATAGTCTTTTGCCGAATTAAACGACACATGCAGGGTAAGGGTAGCCATGTATATACCAGGTCTGAAGTATGATAGCCTAAAAAGATGTAAAGGATCAGGCAGCCCTCCAAACTTTACCTTGCGCATCTTGAAATATCGCTCTGATCCGGGTGAAACATCCATTGTATGACGCTTTCTTTGTAATTGTAGATCTATGTGGTATCTTGGTCTTGGCATAGGTTCCCCTAGCAATGAATAACCCCACTTGAATCCATGCCAGCTGCGAGTTGCGAGACTGATCAGATATATATATTCAGATCCGCCTCCGTCAAAGACGTTGGGCTGTTTTTTTTCCTCCCTGCTGTCGCATGGCAGTCACCCACTGGCGCTGCTGCTCTAGTAATGAATGCATGCATTACTTCATCCTATACATAAATCTTGTGGTTTCCATGAGGCCTCATGAAATTGCATTACACGTTAGTCACAGTCATTCCGTCGCCAAAAAGTGTCTTTCAATCTGCATTCTTACACTATATTTTATAATGTACTTTCCCTGCGTATGTTGATGTTTTTGGGTTGCAGGGTGGCTGCCTTGCGCCTAGGGGCCTAGATCCTGCAGGTCCGTAGCACCAATTAATTGCTTGGGCCCCCCTGCGATGGGGGCGCCTCTCGACGAAACATTAGCGCTACGTAGATTAGTCACGAAAAAGGCGGTGAAAGACTGGCAGGAACCACGGGGATCGCAATCGAGATTTGGGCGCGCGGGACCCACATTGCTACATCGTAGCCCAGTTCTTAATGCAATAGTTCCAGGGATACCCTCTGGTAAACTAACATAACTATGGAAAATCACAATTTTATACTGGGTAAATCAACTATAAATGGGCAATTTTCCATAGCTATGTTTGTTTACCAGAGGGATATGTTGGTTACAAAATGATGTAACTAACGGGGACCCGCATCCAACTGCATCATCCAGTCTTCCGTGTCAACCCTGGAGGAATGTCAAGCGAGTCAAGCCTGGTTGAGAACCACTTTCAATCTGTGGGATGATTTTCCAAGTGCAGCAGTAAGACCCACTTGTTCCTTGTTTTTTTGCATGCAGCACGTTGTTGAATCCACCCATTACATGAAAATCATGAAAGAACCCCAACCTTGGGCTATGGATTAAATAAATACCATGAAGCAACTACTTGTGGACTGTATCATGTCACGTGGCGGGAGTTTATCATAATGTCATAATGATAACCATCTATAAACATAAATCGACATTTATGAACACTAACAAAAAACTCTATGAATAAACATCAACCCAAGCCTTTGGCTAGACTCCTGGAGATGGCGATGGAGAAGAAGAAACATCAACCCCAAGACCAACATTCACGACAGTAATATTTACACAATCAACATCAACCCGGGTAAATTATAACGGCCTCGCTATGCCTCACTGTTCTCACTCACTGGAATCATCGTTAAGCAAGGGGAATTATCCCAATAATATAGCCGAACATTCCAGGTTTGTGAGCTATTACAATTTACCCAGACATATGGAGGTTTCCTAAAATGGGTGTACCCCAATAGCTGGATGGTTTATTTCATGAACACGCCCAAACATTTCGTCGAAAAACTATGAAAATCAAAAAGCACTGCCATGGCGCAAGGGCTATGGACAATCCTAAAATAAGATGGATGATTCAGAATGATTCATAAAGCCATAGGATCCATGGTGCTGCTATATATGGTGTGCCATGGATCCCATCAATATACCCCATTCATGTTAGCATATATATATATATAATTATATATATACAGCACCATGGATCCGTCATGGGAAAATCCCATTGAAATAACCAGTTATAAGATGTTATAAGTACTATACCCCATTTATAGAATTCTATAAATGTATAGTAAACCCAATCAACCATAGTAAACCCAATTAGAAACCTCCAATTTTGGATACTTTGGCTACCACCCATGGCCAACGCGTCGCCGCGTCGCGTCGCCAGGCGCCTTAGCCTCGCTGGAGCAGCAGCTGGGGCCCCAAGCGCGGCTGCTGGCGACCAGCGCCGAGGCCACCGGGAGAGCACCGGGATTTGAGCACCAAAATCCATCCAAATTGTTAATTATAGTTAATGATGGTTAATCTTTTTTTTATAATGATTAATAGTGGTTAATTAATAATGGTTAATTATCTGATTGGTGGTGACTGGAACATGTTTTATGACTTTCCATTCAATTGGGAATGGAAAAGAATCATAATCACATCCCAACTGACGAAGTCCATGATTTTTCAGAGGGGTAGGTATACCACCAACCAGATCATGTGTTTCATGATCATTTTATATGTCCAAATGTGTCTAAATGTGTTCGCAGAATGAAACAAATCTATGATCTTAAAACATGAACATCTTGGGAAAAGCCTTTTTTTTGAAACTGAATCTCTCAAAAATTATTAGTAATTGTTTTTTGTTTCCATATTTTCGCTTCCACAGATTGCCATTTTGGGAGGTATACCCTCCAAGAATTTTCCTATAAAACAAGACATGTGTAGGGGATCTTCTAGCTAGCCATGGTTGATCATGTACCACAAGGCAACCATGGAAAATATAGGGAAGTCATCTATATATTTATATGATTGTAATATATAATGTATATTGACATATAGGTGATTTTCATGATGTACCAACCCCAGAATCATATTGTTGGTTTGTTCATACCCACTCCACTAGCTATAATTTAGTATATCTACCATAAACCCAACCAACTTAGCTAACGAACTGGGGCGCCACTTTGCAGACTGTAGAGGAAAAACAAGTATAGTTATATTTGGGTCCATTTATGTCCAGTGATTCCGTGAAGTTTCAATTATTTCTTGTTGGGGTCCATTGTCAATTTGTTGCCCTTTCCGTGTGATATGCAAGTAACGCCCATCAAAGACTTCTTTTGTTCAAGGTTAGCCATGACCATATCAATTGCAAAAAGGTTGACGGGGTGTGCAGCCTTGATAGTTTGAAGATATGTTGTATGGGTTGCTCAACAGAAACCGATGCATGAGGGGCGTCTTCATGGAAACGCGGTCACGCCGGATCATGGATCATGGATCCCAAATTCCGAATTGTTAGTGAATCTGACCAGAAACTATTCAAGCTTCATTTTCAATCTTTCAATCTGGAGTGGAACATGTGTAGCATGGATCCAGAATCAAAAGCCAACCTTTTCCCCCCCTTTGAGCAGCACAGGTGTTGCTCCCGCGCTTGGAGAAGCGCGGCGTGGACGTGGCAGACCTCATTGCCTTGAGCCGGAGCGTCTGGGAAAACGAGACGATGCTTTGAATGGATCGGGCGGTGGCCACTTTATTCCGGAAAAAAATAAAGGTTGTCTTTGTGGGGTAAACATAGAAAAAACTATGGAACATTACCATTTTTAATGGGTAACTCAACTATAAAATCTATAAATGGCAATTTTCAATAGCTTTTTGTATGTTTGCCAGGCCAGGTACATGTTTTAACCATGAAACACCCAACGAAATCACGGGAATTTCGAGGTCAACTTGATGTGATTTTGCTATCTAGTTTCATCACAATACCGCCATTAATGCCCAATGTATTGTCAAAAACATACAGGATGAAATCACCTTAAATAAATACATATATATATATATTTAATTTGCTGATTATGTAATTTAGATTCCATATGTTTCCCTATAAAGTCGTTAAAAAAAAAACGTAGGTATGTAGTGATTTTTCATGATTCATGAGGGGTTCTCTGTATCCCCCTATGTCGCCCTGTGGTGTTCCATAGCTATGTCAGTTGGAGATATGGGATCTAGTTCCTGGATGAATTGCCTTAACTTTTGCAGGTGTCTATAAAAATGGATTATGACCATTATGATTGATTCATGGTTGACTAATGGTATTCTATAAGTTTGGTCATCTTGTTTGCAACCAAGACGCCGAAAAAATGGATTCATTTGGCTGGTGGTTCAATGATTTAATGAGTTTCCACCCTAGCCACTAGCCCTCGCTGCGATGATCTGCTCCTATGTTCCCCATCGCAGGCACCCCAAGCTGTCAAGATGCAACCTGATGGCGTGGGGCTTAGAGTCAGCAAACATCCCTCAGTGCCGCCCTGTCCTTTTTTTACATGGCTTGAAACTGCCGCAACTCTCCCAGAATTGGAAAATCGACAGAAAACCCGATCAACATGGAGGTAAGAAAAAAAAGCAGCGGTTTCCCTGCGATTTTTCTTGAACCAATCCATTGAAACATTGTGAAACCAGATCAACCATGTCTAAAAAAATGGAATCCCATGAAAGAACCATAGAAAATCATAGAAACAACTGTATTTTCATCGGACTCCGAAACAAAAAAATCCACTGTGCCCCTTTTGAACAACCGTGGGCCGCCACGCAGGCAGCGTTCTGTGGGTCGACCGCCGTGGCCATCTACGTCTTCCCGATGGCGCTGGATGGAGCGAGGTGCCGCAAGCGACCGTGTAGACAAGTAGTAACGGTTGTGGGTAAAAAAATGCCATAAACCACCCATGACTGCAATGTGGTCCCCCCAGTTATAAGTTGGTTTATAAGCCCCAGTAACTATAGTTATAAGTACCATAAACCATAGTTATCGGAGTTATAAACCAATTTAGCTATCTTGGTGGCCTCACATTGTGGGAATGGTAAACATACCACCTATTTATGGTGATGACTGGGGGATGGTTTATTATGATAATTGTTTTACACACAGTATTACTGGATGATTTGATAATTAAACATGTAAAGTCAAAAAATGTCATTAACACTGTTAGTTGTTGTTAGTTAATATTGTTACCACAATGTCGTATTGACAAATGATGTTGTTATTTATTAACCAATGTCAGTTCACCATAACAGCAGCTAACATTAATTGGATACTTGTAACAATAACCGCTATCAATTTTGGATAATCGCTTACAAATGTTACTTAATATTACGCATAATTCAGTTATCAACATTTGATTACAATAGATTACCATCTTTCCCGTTTAGATTTAGTTAGTTCGCAATAATCTTAGATATTTGGAGTAACCAGTCAATAACCCATAGGATCCATGTATGCTATATATGGTAACATGGATCCCATCAATATACCCCATTCATGTTAGCATATATACCAACACCATGGATCCGTCATGGGTAACGTTTCCAATCAGTGTTCATTTAGATCTAGTTCATCATCATTCTCCAGAAATTTTCAGCTCCGCCATGAGGTCTCTCCTGGAGGAGCTGCTTGGCAAGAACTTGCTGGAAACTGAAGATGACCTACTGGTAACCTGGTATAGTGGTTGGTGGTTCCAAATAGTGGTTTTCCATGGTTTTCCAGACCTTCAACGATAGACAGGGGAGCAACCTACTGGTATGTTCTTACTGAACAATGGAAGGCTTTTGCGTCCATGTTTGTTTAAGATGGAGCATTCATTTGCGTGATGATTCTACACAAATTCTTGGTCCCCAAGCAGTCTGATGTTCAAGTCAAGACAGAGGCGGCCGCATGGGCATTTCCTCCCCAAAAAAGTCGGAGTAGATGTTCTATAGATATGGAATATATTGATGTTTTGATGTGATTTGGTCTACTCCTTTGTGTTTGAAGAGGCATAGCAATGAGAATGCTGCATCTATTGTTTGTGGCTTCAATTACTTAAACATATTTAGACTATGGAGAAACCCCCTTGCTCTTGTACAATACTGGAGGATATGGAAAGCCCTTCTTTCCCTGTGAATCGCGGTTTCTCCTTGTCGTGACAAAGCTCGGCTCTGACAGGGTTGAGTCACAGCTTTGGCCATCGCTTGCATGGCCGCACAATAATCACTTTGACTCCACCAATCTCATTGATGATGCACATCGCAGTTCTTTGCCCGCATTCTCCAATACTTATTGTTGTCAACAACATTGTCATTTTTTGCCTAAATGGGAATGGAAACCACTCACAAACTTTCGAATACATTCCCATGAAACTCTGATGTCCCGTTTTCGTTGCCGACATGCTCACCTTCTTCCACGCAGAGTTCTGGTAAAGGGATGTACAGTAGCAGGTTGCAACTTACAAAATAGTACAAGCACACATATTTACGCACACGCATATGTATATATACATGCATATGAATGTACAGACACTATCCCGGTGTTTGATGTAAAACAAATTGTGACATATTGTATCACTAATGACTAATATGCTTTTAAATAACATTGACATTCAGGCGTTAATTGCAGCTGCTCAGAGCTTTTGTGGCAAGATTGAGCCTGACTAACCTTTTTTTTCAGGTGGGTTGAAACCACCAAAACCATATTGTGCTTAATCCCAGAGCTGTTGGTTGTGCTCCCTGTGCGGAGTTTTCGCTTGGTTTGTTAACTTCAGCTAAAAGAAACTTCTGTTACACCAAGACAAAAAAAAACTGCGACATGGTGAATCACATGTTGGATGGAACAAAAAAACTATCTAACTAACACATGGTGAATCACATGTTGGATGGAACAAAAAAACTATCTAACTAACATCATCTAACCATACTAAACACCCCACTTTTCCCAGGATTTTCCCATGTCTTTCGTGGCACCCAAAACGCGCATCCACATATAGCCATGGGGACCTCCCCAGCCCGGCGCCGTCGGCACCGTCGGCACCGGGCTGGCTGGGCCTGCGCCTTGGCGCTGGCGTCGATGGCCCTGGCGATGCCCTGGGTGGCCTGGAAATATAGGGATTACCCTCTGGTAAAGTAACCTATGGTTAATCTATGGTTAATCTATGGTTAATCTATGGTTAATCATTGGAATAACAATATATCTGGTTGGTGGTTCGGAACATGTTTTATTTTTCCATATATTGGGAATGTCATCATCCCAACTGACGAACTCATATTTTTCAGAGGGGTAGGTATACCACCAACCAGATATGGTTTAGTAGGGATAATGGGATAATGATGGGATACTGGGATATTAGTGGATGTATCCTCTGGTAATTTGTTACATAGCTACTATAGAAAATTACCCATTTATATCCATTTATCATTGATTTACCTATTAAAGATAGTGATTTTCCATAGCTTTTTGTATGTTTACCAGAGGCTAATCATAATCCTGGTGGATTATTATGGATGATCTATCAATGGCGGATGAATCATTCATGGCATTGTTCATCAATAATTACCCTCTGGTAAACTAACATAGCGGTTGAAAATCACCATTTTTAGTGGGTAAATCAACTATAAATGCCCATTTTCAATAGCTATGTTAAATTACCAGAGGGTATGGTGGTTTACTGCTATACCAACTATTGTCTAGAAGAAATTTTGGGAGTACTGGCAATAGTAAATAGCCATTGATATGCTAATATGTCGGCAACAATCATATAGATTATCAGCAACTGATGGAAGACAGTGAAATACTAGCAATATATACTCAGGCATTATAAAATTACGGACACTCATGGAGATTTAATATATGGAAAATCACCATCTTTTAGGGGAACAGATAGGGTGGGGAAATGCTGTTGTAGCGACCAACAAAAAACAGGATAGCAAAGTAAATTGTCCTAAAAGAGTGATAAATGACGTTTCTGTCTTTTGGGGGGTTACTATAATGGGACTGCAGGGGAATTTCATGGGATTAATTCTTGGATTGATTGGTTGGGAAACCAAGCATTTTTGTAGGATATGTAAGGATAAGATAAGATTGGATAAGCATCAAATTTAGGGATATATGGGGAAATCAATTGTCAATTGGAAACATGTGATTATATGGAAAACATGTTGTTTAATTAGACTAGGTTGCACGAAAATTTAAGCATTTGGGGATATGAACATTAAGTAATGGGCATGCAACAAATGATGATACTGGTTGATGGTTTCAGGTATGTGTTTGTTCCCCTAAACCATGGACTTGGGATGATACTCCCGAATGACATATTCTTCAGATGAGTGGCTCAAACAACAGATATATATATATGTATATATATATATATAGATACTCAAGCTTCATCATATGGGGACTTGATACGCTTTAACAGTTAAACATGAATTCATAGTTTCACCATCCGTGGAGTTTCATATGATCGAAGCGCCGGAAAATGGGGAAACCACGCTTAGCCGGGTGGGGGAAATTCACAGTGAGATGGGTGAAAATTCTCGAATCGTATGGAAAATTCCCTATGCACTTGGCTGATGCCAAGTGAGAAGGGTTCAGTTTTTTTCCCGTTTTTGGGAGCGACCATGACTGCGAGCCCTGTGCGGCTGCATGGTCTCTTGTTTCTCACACTTCCCTCGCAGGAAAGCATCGTACCTCCACATTTACACACGTTTTTTTTTGCCGTCACCCGAAGGATATGTGTTTTCGACCGCGCCAGTCTTGAGATGTCTTGGGATGTGACGGTGGCTTTCACTTATCCAAGCTATCTAAAAGGCTCGAGATCGAAGGCCCCACAAGAACATATCTGCTGTCTCTGAGGGTCAAAGATCTGCGAGCCGCTATTTTACGGCTGTGGCTCAGATAAGAAATCCCAGAATGGATCACAATGGCTAGATTGGGATGTTGAGCCACCTTGTTTGCATCTATACCTGTATAATTTAATATATTTTATATATTTTGAATATGTATCGAATTAGTTTGATCTATTATTTGACTGAGATAAAGCCATTGTGAAGTCTTCATTCTGAAACTCAACCTGCGAAAACGACACCCTGACATGAAGTCAAATCATGGAGGTTCAACCAACAATACGCCCAAAAAATTGTCTTGTTGTTGGTGGTTACCCTTTGGTTATTTAACATAGCTATGGAAAATGGCCCGTTTATAGATGATAAACAATATATTGACATGATTCCATTTACCTAAATTTCACACGATTTTCCAGAGTTAAATTTTCACATGATTTTCCATGGCTACGTTAAATAACCAGAGGGTAATGTTTTAATAAACCCCAAGGCCAATCATTTGATCAGCTGCCCAGCGCTCCCCAAGGTCGGAAGCCGTGCACAGAGACGGTCCATCCCCAGATCGCTTCGAAGATCTTCCGCCAGCGAGGCGGTGACGGACGAGGTGATACGAAACTTAGCGGAACCTTCCGTTGCTGGTTGGTTACCATTTAAGGTTATAAAATGTAGGGACCTATATAATTATGGTACATTTATAGATTTATATAGATCTATAGAATCTATAGTAGAAAAAACTCCAGGGTATAAATATAGTTACCATCTGGTTATGACTTTCAAATAGCCATGGAAAGATCCACCATCTCTAATAGCTAGGTAAACCATCTATGTCTATGGAAAATGGCCCATATAAATAATTATAGTTACCATTTGGTTATGACTTGCCATATAGATCCATAAAATGTAGGGACCTATATATGGTACATAAATGTAGATTTATAGATCTATAGTAGAAAAAACTCTAGGGTATATTTTATACCTGATGGTGTGTAGAATATAGATACCCTCTGGTTATGACTAACAGTTCGCCATGGAAAGATCCACCATCTCTAATAGCTAGGTAAACCATCTATTTGTATGGGCCATCTATACCATGACTATGTTAGTCATAACCAGATGGTATTGCGCAACATTTGAGTGTTGGTTGCAATGTTGAACATGTAACTTTATGGATGAATGTTAGGGAAATTTAAGGCAACTATGATGCTGCTATTGGGATTGTGGGATTGGGCAGGATGAGGGTAAGCATGAGGATGGGTAAGGGCCTCGCTTCGGAACGCGTCTTCAGGCATCGCTTCGGAACGCGCTCTCATGCATCGCTTTCGAACGCGCCTCCTCACCATCATCACCATCATCACCATCATCATCATCATCATCTTCATTCCTCACCATCATCATCATCAGCATTTGCATCATGCTTCTTCTTCCGTTTATTCCTCCTCCTCTTCTTCTTCTTTTTGGCCATCCTCTTCCTCATCAGCCTCATCCTCCTCATTATCCTCATCGTCAACAGCACGATCATCATCAGCAGCATCATCAAGTTTCTTCTTTTTTTCTTCTGCATATTTATTCTTCTTCTTCTTCGCCGCCAACACCATCACCATCATCATCGTCATCATCATCATCATCACCATCGTCATCCTCCTCATCATCATCATCATCACCATTCTTAGCGTCACCATCATCATCATCAGCATCATCTTCAGATCATCCTGATCATGATCAGCATCCTCCTCATCATTATCATCATGCTTCTTCCTTGCTGTCACCAGCTTCATCATCAGCACCACCATCATTATCATCATCAGCAGCTTCCATACCACCATCATCAGCATTATCATCATGTGTGTTCTTCTTCTTCTTCTTCTTCTTCTTCTTCTTTTTCTTTGCCGTTTTCCTCATCCTCATCCTCATCCTCATCACCATCATTACCATCCTTATCATCATCATCATCACCATCATCATCATCATCATCATCATCATCACCATCATCCTCATTGTCGTCCTCATCATCATTATCATGAGCATCATTCATAATAAACCCTAAAGGTGTCGTGGCTCTTCTTACATCAAGTGCAACAAGGTATAAACCCTAAAGGTGTCGTGGCTCTCCTTACATCAAGTGCAACAAGATACAAACTCTAAAGGTGTCATGGCTCTCCTTTCATTAAGTGCAACAAGATAAGAACCTCAAAGGTGTCGTGGCTCTTCTTACATCAAGCTCAACAACAAATAAACCCTAAAGGTGTCGTGGCTCTTCTTACATCAAGTGCAACAAGATATAAACCCTAAAGGTGTCGTGGCTCTCCTTACATTAAGTGCAACAAGATATTAACCCTAAAGGTGTCGTGGTTCTTCTTACATGAAGTGCAACAAAATTTGTCTCTTCTAACATCAAGTGCAACAAGATATAAACCCTAAAGGTGTCGTGGCTCTAAACTACATCAAGTGCAACAAGATATAGACCCTAAAGGTGCCGTGGCTCTTCTAACATCAAGTGCAACAAGATATAAACCCTAAAGGTGTCGTGGCTCTTCTTACATGAAGTGCAACAACAAATAAACCCTAAAGGTGTCGTGGCTCTTCTTACAGCAAGTGCAACAAGGTATAAACCCTAAGGCCCTAAAGGTGTCGTGGCTCTTCTTACATCAAGTGAGACAAGATATAAACCCTGAAGGTGTCGTGGCTCTTCTTGCATCAAGTGCAACAAGATATAAACCCTAAAGGTGTCGTGGCTCTCCTTACATTAAGTGCAACAACAAATAAACCCTAAAGGTGTCGTGGCAGTCCTTAGATCAAGTGCAACAACATACAAACCCTAAAGGTGTCGTGGCAGTCCTTACATCAAGTGAGACAAGATATAAACCCTAAAGGTGTCGTGGCACTCCTTACATCAAGTACAACAAGATATAAACCCTAAAGGTGTCGTGGCAGTCCTTAGATAAAGTGCAACAACATAAAACCCTAAAGGTGTCGTGCCTCTTCTTACATCGCGTACAACAAGATATAAGCCCTAAAGGTGCCGTGGCTCTTCTAACATCAAGTGCAACAAGATATAAACCCTAAAGGTGTCGTGGCAGTCCTTAGATAAAGTGCAACAACATAAAACCCTAAAGGTGTCGTGCCTCTTCTTACATCGCGTACAACAAGATATAAGCCCTAAAGGTGCCGTGGCTCTTCTAACATCAAGTGCAACAAGATATAAACCCTAAAGGTGTCGTGGCTCTTACTACATCAAGTACAACAAGATATAAACCCTAAAGGTGTCGTGGCTCTCCTTACATCAAGTGCCCTAACATGCAAACCCTAAAGGTGTCGTGGCTCTTCTTACATGAAGTGCAACAACATGTAAACCCTCAAGGTCTCGTGGCAGTCCTTACATCAAGTGCAATAACATATAAACCCTCAAGGTCTCGTGCCAGTCCTTACATCAAGTGGAACAAGATATAAGCCCTAAAGGTGCCGTTGCTCTTCTTACATCAAGTGCAACAAGATATAAACCCTGAAGGTGTCGTGGCTCTTCTTACATCAAGTGCAACAAGACATCAAGTGCAACAAGATAAGAACCTCAAAGGTGTCCTGGCTCTTGTTACATGAATTGCAACAACATGTAAACCCTAAAGGTGTCGTGGCACTCCTTACATGAAGTGCAACAAGATGTAACCCTAAAGGTGTCGTGGCTCTCCTTACATTAAGTGCAACAACAAATAAACCCTAAAGGTGTCGTGGCAGTCCTTAGATCAAGTGCAACAACATAAAACCCTAAAGGTGTCGTGGCACACCTTACATCAAGTAGAACAAGATAGAAACCCTAAAGGTGTGGTGGCTCTTCTTAGATTAAATGCAACCAGATATAAACCCTAAAGGTGTCGTGGCTCTTCTTACATGAAGTGCAACAACATGTAAACCCTCAACGACATGTAAACCCTAAAGGTGTCGTGGCTCTTATTACATGAAGTGCAACAACATGCAAACCCTAAAGGTGCTGTGGCTCTTCTTACATCAAGTGCAACAAGATGTAAACCCTAAAGGTGTCGTGGCTCTTATTACATGAAGTGCAACAACATGTAAACCCTAGAGGTGTCGTGGAAGTCCTTACATCAAGTGCAACAACATATAAACCCTAAAGGTGTCGTGGCAGTCCTTACATCAAGTGCAACAACATGTAAACCCTAAAGGTGTCGTGGCAGTCCTTACATCAAGTGCAACAACATATAAATCCTAAAGGTCTCGTTGCTCTTCTTACATCAAGTACAACAAGGCTTTTGTTTCATATATTCACCTTCATTTTCTGTGGCAGGCGTGGGACCTTTTGACATCGACCTTCATTTTGCGTGGCAGGTGTGGCACTTTTGTACATCGACTGTCCTTTTACGTGGCAGGCGTGGGACTTTATGACATGGTTGAAACGAGTCAAATTCTCATACGAGGAGGTTTTTTGTGTTGGTCTCGCTTTGGAACGCGTTTTTCTTCCAAAGTCTTGCGCCTGTCAGTAAATCTGATGTGTGTGTGTATGGCGGGGTTTCCATGAGATGTTTTATTTTGTGTTCTAAAGTGATGCAAAATGGCTGTGTTCTAAAGTGATGCCTGAGAGTGTGGTCCAAAGTGATCTTTTTACCGTGAGGATGATGATGAATATTTGGGACGGATTCAATTGCTGATTATCAGCTGTTTTGCGCTTTGATTTTAGCGCCTAGGAAGCAGTACAAAGGGATGGCCGCTCAGATGATTTGTTTATGCTTGCTTACTTCATCAGCCCGTACTCGTCGAGTTTTTGATGAGGTGTCGGCACTGCCAGTGGTCCTAACTTAATGAAAATTGCAGTTCTTCGCAGGGTGCTGGTTTAACGGTTTCGAGCCCTTCTCTTTTCTGAACTCACCCTGGAATGGTGCCTGCCATGACAGTGAGGAATCATCAAGCAGGAGTGCCCGTCCTTCTCAGGCGGCTTGTGGGGCGTGGACCAGAATGGGACATCTTCTTTGACAGACTATTTGCCCAGGTGGTTTCAACATGTGTCATATGATTCCCATTGACATTTTTTTCGGAGCCACCAGCCAGCTATTGCAAGAACTTCTGCATAGTTCCACGGGGAGAGAGAGACTGAGAGACTGAGAAACTGAGATCTGTACTATAATATACTTATAATATAATATACTATGTGTGCATATGCATATATTATATATATACGTATGTATATTTATATATATACGTATATGTATATATATAATATTGTTTGTAGACGTGTTTTATTGTTTTGCATGCAATGGAACTAGTTTTATGTTCATGCCTTTTTGGACACATATGCAAGCATCAACCCAATGCACATGTGATTGCTCATTTGTTTAGCACCATATATACCATGTTCATTGGGTCTCGACCACTTAATCAAGACTTGCCATATAGATACTTAAAACGTAGGGACCTATATGGTACATGGTACATTTATAGATCTATAGTAAGTAGAAAAAACTCTAGGGTATATTATATACCTGATGGTGTATTGAATATAGATTCCCTCTGGTTATTTAACATAGCCATGGAAAATGTACTATAGGTAAACCATCTATAAATGGGCCATTTTCCATGGCTATGTTAAATAACCAGATATCTTCAGACTTTTTTGCGAAGGGATGCTACTGGACCAGGCGAGGTCCAGAAGAGCACTGCCTTAGCGATGCTGCAGTCGGAGGCAGATTCCTTGGATACCCTGGAGGCAATCGGGCGGGGAGAGAAGTACTGGAGCAGGGGCTTGAGATGATGATCATTTGTGGACATGGTGATATGGTGTACAGTATATATATATATACATACACCATTACGTGGGGATTACTATGTGTATGCATATATATACACATGGTTTTTAGCAACTTGTTAATCCGCTTTATGAACCACTTAACAACACTGAACTTCTAATCCAACAGGAATGGATGAAGCGTAATCCCATCCCTGTAAGCCCTCCATCACCCCACAGAAGGTATGGTGGATGTAGGGCCACATATCTAACGACTCAATCGGGGTGTATCATAGATCTGGATGTTTTTTATGTAGACACTTGAAGCCAGTTGCTGTATATCAAACCTATTTCTGCCTATATTTTCCTGTTGAACTGATAACTGGTCTAGATGTGCCCTTTCATTTGTTAGGACAACTCATAGCCACCTTAAGAGGTCTCCCAGTATCCAAGTATCCCACGCTCGAGGCCATGATGGAGCTGGAAGATCACTTCAAAGTGGAGCTGGAAGACGAGTGGATGGAAGAGGTCATGCAATCACTTACCAAGCACCTAAAAGCTGTCGGGAAAGACCAGCTACCATTAAGCCTTGATTAGATACAGCGCAAATTGCTTGTAAAATGTCGTATAAACTAATATATATATATATATATATTTAATATAATATATATATAGCTTGAGTATGTTGTGATCTTCTACGGTTCTACGCCCTCATTTCTGATTCGAGTAAGTCTCAGTAAGTTGCTTATTTTGAGTTTTACTCTTGTACCCTACAAGGTGGCGCCCCATAGATCCCACTGTTCGCTCAGTTGGTAAAGAAAGTAGATTACCATTGTTTTTTGTTTTTCCCCGATATGTTTGGCAGATATATTCATAGAAGTTCATACATATATAGATCCATTCTATATAGTCTATATATATATAGATACAATTATATGCATATAGAGAATATTATAAGAACAAGAACATAGATGGGGTTTATAAACCCACTTATCATTGGGGGCACCATCTTTGTATTATTCCTTCTTGTCAGCTAGCGCAGGTGCAGACAGTGCAAGACCTGGCAGACCTCATTTGGCGCACACCGCGGGGCTTGAAGCTGCGTACCGTGGACGATGAGACCTACATTGCGTGCCTTGGCTGCCGGGAGGTGACTTTTTTCCCATCTACTCTCTGGTAATTTGTCACATAGCTATTGAGAATAGCCACAGAAATAGTTGATTTACGTACTAAAAATATTGATTTTCCGTAGTTATGTTAGTTTACCAGAGGGTACAACTTTGTTTTTTTTTTTTCGGGTTGGTGATTGGGAGGGTTATCCTATTCAATTGTTGTTGGGGATGATCACATGCATGTGCATACGCTTAGAGAAACAATGACATTTTGGATAGAGAAAAACATAAATGAAACGATTTCACATTTGGATACATGCATTTCTGATACAGGCACATAATTTGAAGATATTCGCAAAGCAGTGACCAGCTTAAGCATGCATTTAGTTTTGCTGTCACCCAGTTCCCAAGCTTTTTGCCACAAGATGGATGCATAAGCTTCCAGTTTGGCGAGGTTGGTTTTTCAGGAGGATGCGTAGCCGTGCGCTGTTGCAGCACCACCGTCTTCAAATTGAGCATTGTGTAAATATGACTCTGTATATCTCTGTGCGTTACATTGTTACATTTCAATTTTCTAGACATGTAATTACACATTCAGTGCATAGATACCATGGTTTATGTGGGTTATGTACGCCAGTGTACCTGTTTTTTTGTGGTAGATGAGAGGCTCAAGGGTCCCAAGGGTTGCCGGCAGTTCGCGGCCGTTTGAGGATGATCCGCAAATCGCATTCTGAAAACCGTGACACCGGCGCAAGATTTGAGTGCTGGGATGTGTACTGGGTCCCTGGGTACTGGGTCAGACCGGGGAAGGCGATGGGATGTGTGCCATGGTGTGTTCGTATACCATCTGGTTATGACTAACATAGCCATGGAAAATCACCATTTTATAGCTAGGTAAACCATCTATAAATGGGCCATTTTCCATATCTATGTTAAATAACCAGAGGGTACGTTTATATTTTCGTGGATTTTTTGTTCGAACACAAATCCAAACAGACTTCACTGCAGAATGCCGAAATATGCAGAATCACAATCTCTGTTTTTTTCGATCCATGACGTCAAGGGATTTGGGCAGGTCATGAATGGTTTTCATGGCTTTGTTTGACCCAATGTGGTGCGATCCCTGCAGTAATTATGTTTACATTAGTTCTGGAAAAGGGTCCCAAGGAACCTTGCACCCCTGGGGGTGTAATGAAGAAAAAAACTGGACTACTGTACCTATTTCACGATCATAGCAGGCTGGCCACTGATTTAACAAACATGACAGGCTGGGGCGAGCTTTATGATGGCTGGGAGAAAGATATCCCACCACAGTATGAGCACCGCGGTCCATCCTTAGCCGAAGAAGCTCAGGTGTAACTCGGGGGGCTTCCTGACGGAAGGTGGTTGTCTATTGGGCCGACCATGGGGCACAGATGCAAATACCCAGAGTTATGGCAGTTTGAGGGGAAAATTATGATTATAATATATTGTACCCCCTGGTTATTTAACATAGCCATGGAAAATTGCCCATTTATAGATGATTTTCCCATTGAAACCTCCATTTATGAGGGATTTTCCATGGCTATGTTAAATAACCAGATGGTAATCCATTGGAGTTCAGGAGGTGCGCTGCTTTTGAACACACCCATTGTTTCATCCCATCTAGCTAGGAAGCGCTGGAGAAAAAGTTCGGGGAATGCGATGGATTGATTTGTAGGACATTGTAGGACCAGTTCGGAGGAACAAATAGGAAACAAAAGATTTAAAAAAAAAACACAACAACCCAAATCATTTGGATAGGACAATCTGTGTTTCACAAACTTGCCCTGAAATCATGTACGAACTGTAGTCTGAACACATAGCAAGGTCATGCAGGGTCTATTAGGGCAAATCCAGTGATGAGTTACTGGTTGGTGGTTTGGCACATGTTTTATTTTTCCATATATTGGGAATGTCATCATCCCAACTGACGAACTCCATCATTTTTCAGAGGGGTAGGTATACCACCAAGCTGGTTACTTTGGCATTGTTGTGGCGATGTACAATACGCGACGACCGCATGGCAGGCTGCGTTTGATGGGCTGATCATGGAAAAGCAACAAGAGCTTGGGATGATAGGGATGATTGGGATGTTTGAACATAGCCTTAGTGCATACCTTAGTGCGTACCCAAAACAATGATGGTTGATCAGCGTTTTTCCTAACCCCACTATTTGTTGAGATCCACTATTTTGAAAGGGGTGGCCATGGCCCAGCAAGCGTGTGGCAGCCACTCAGTCGTCAGGCTGATTCAAAGCAAAGCACCCAGATGGAAAACATCGAGAACGCCCAAAGTATGGACGCTTGATCTGACAGAATTGGTTTACCCTCCAGTAGACTAACATAGTTATGGAATGTTATGGAAGCCATGGCCCATAGAAATAGATGATTTACCTATTAAAACTATGGTAATTTCCAATAGCTACGTTAGGGGAAAACATGCAAGAAAACAGCGAAAAGTGCGGATGGTTAACACACAACCACTGGGGATTAAACAACCACTGGAAAATTGGGGTGGCAACCGTGGTGTCATACGTTTTTTTTCGTATATGTGTTAGTTCGATCCATTCCATCCTTTTTCTTGGGAGGGATGTTTCAAGTGACTCCAGCCATACTGATGGCTTGAAAACCACCACCATCCAGTTTTGTCTTGAGCCGACATTCTTTCCACCCTAGATTGACTAAACTGAGAATGCTCAGGAAAATTGGGACACCAACCTTTTTGGTGGTTTCAAGTTTCAACATGTGGTTATTTCCGTCCTACCGTGGATGCTCGGTGACTGCTATTTTCACGTTGAAACCCGTCTGAGGAGCTGAAGATTTCTTGGATTCTGTGGGAAGTGCATGTCTTTCCTTGTGGGCCCCACGAAAAAACAAGCCCGGCAATGGAAAACCCAGAGATGACATGTTTTCCAAAGGGCGGTCTTGGCAACGCAATCGCGGTCAGTCACATTCAGTTGCCAGGCTGATTCAAAGCAAAGCGCCCAGATGGAAAACATGGAGACCGCCCAAAGTATGGCTGCTTGATTTCACAGAGGTTCAGAAGACATGTGGTGATGAAAACCTTCCCATGGGGATGTTCAACACGCAACTGGGGATATAACCAGTACAAAATTGGGGATATTCACCTGAATTTTGCGGTGTCATATCTTTGTTTTGATGGCGATCGGGAATCCGGAAGCAAACTCCTTTCGTCCTTGATTTTGCTGAATATGATTGGCAATTTTCCCAATCGGAAATCCACTGCTTGCGGAATCTATAGGAATATGTGTTTTTTGTATTTGTTGGGGTTCCTTACGCAGATTCAAGTCGTCGTTTCAAGGGTTTGTCATGCCCCTGGGTTGGTGATGCCCAATGATTGCTATTTTTCCACGGGGGTTAAGGCACCAATTCGGTGGCTGAACCATGCCCTTGGTGAGAAATAGCTGAGGTAAATCAACCTCCAGAAACCGGCAAGGCCAGGCATCCAGGGAAGAATGAAAGACGATTCCAGTTTCATACAACCCTATGACTGGGAGAATAACCAGCCATTAACCAGATGATTATATCAGATATGACTTAGGGATACTTAGGGTACCATGGTACCATCCTGAATACCCCCTGAAAATAAGCCATTCCTAGTGGAAACGGTGTTCTTCCAACCCCAAGAACTCCCAGGGACCGAAGGGACCGGCGGCCAAGATCACCAAGGTGGTCGGTGCTGCCAGACCGTTTGATTGACGTGGTGTGCTGCGATTGACTGTGCATATTATTACTGTAAACGTGCATGTTATTTTTACGCATATAATTACTTATATTATATTATATATATACGCATATAATTATCGATCATGTTGATTAGATATATGTATATTATATATGTAGATATTGTTTACATAATTATAGGTATATCTTCTTGATGTACAAACCTTGTGTATACATAGTCATATTTGATTTGTATCTTTGCCGGTTTTTGGTCTTTGTGATTTGTTTTTTCACCTATGGTTCAACGTTGAAGCGGGCGCACTTCACCGTCACAGATGGCAATAGACGTCATAATGTGTGTTCCTTTGTGGTATTTTGGTCAGGCCTCAAAACAAAAAACACATGGGTGTTTCCAAAAAGGGGGGGATCCCCAAAATGGTTGGTTTATTTCATGGAAAATCCAAAAATAAAATGAATGATAACTAGGGGTACCACCATTTTAGGAAACCTCCATATTGATACCATACCAAATTTGACCCTTTGGTGGTATTGTGAACCTTCATCTAGATGAGACCCTTTATCAACCAAGTTTCCGATTAGTTTTGGAATTTATATATTACTTGGTGAAACCTTCAAAACATGGGGGCCATTATATAATTGTTGTTGAATATATATATATATTATACACAAAGAATCTTCATTATTAAGTATATATAGGTTGTCTGACCAGGTTTGGAGTAGGTTTTGAACCTCAAACCTGCATTTTTTCGGCTTGGATGTAGCATTTACAAGAAAACCCGATCATTTTGGGATATTTTGGGTGTAATCACCAAGGATTTCGGCTGGTGGTGTTCCGTGATTTTCCAACTAATAGCAACCCAAAAATTGATAGAAAAGATGGAAACAGAAAGCGGACACCTGGAAAACAATGATTGGTACCCTCTGGTTATGTCAACAGTTTGCTATTGAAAATTACAATTTTTAATGGGAAAACTCACTATACATGACCATTTATAGTGGATTTTCCCATTGAAAATGGTGATTTTCTATAGTTATGTTAGTTTACCAGAGGGTAGAGATCTTCCATAATCTGTACTATCCACACTTGTCCATCCGTAGCGGTTACTACCCCGGGCTGCCACTGCTGCGCCGGCCGAGGCCTCTTTGACCGTGCCCCAGTTGAGAAGTTTGCTGAGGGACCTGGGCCTGGACGATTCAGGCCGTGAAACCTGCGGGTTGGATGGACATTTACAATGTGGTGCCCCATAGCTAAGTTGGTTTATAACTACAATAACTATCAATAACTAGGGTTATTGTAGAATATTGTAGATATGTTTAAAGTTACTTGGGGTTATAAACCAACAAACACCACTGGGGTGGTACCACCTTGTAGATGTGTTTGCCAGATGAACCTGGAAAGATTAGGGATTTACCGATTTACCCTAGAAAGAACGGGGACATGTTTTTTTTTGGAACACTTCATGCCAAGAATTCTTGGGGCATTTCGTGCATTTGTTTACCATGGGGAAATCTGCGAGCGAACTGCAACTTGTACCACATGTTGCCATGCATATCCATGCATACAATATGTCATTATTAACAGATTGACAAACATATTGCCATTTTTCAAAAAATGTTACAACATGTATTTGCCAATCAACTCATGTTTGGCCATGTGTTGCCAAAAAAATTGGCCATGGAGGACTTGGAGGACCATGTCACTACTGAGACTTTACCCGGCCTGGTAAACGTTTACAGTTTGCTATTGAAAATGGCCATAGAAATAGTGGATTTACCCTTTCAAAATATTTAAAAATGGTGATTTACTGAGACTTTACTCTTCTGCATGTTTGGTGCTGTAATTTGATTTCCGACCATTTGTATTGCATTCCATTTGTCATAGTATGGTGCGTCTTGATTATTTTGTGTCAGAAATAATCCGAGACATTTCGATGTATGATGATTTTAATGTCACGCAATGATGCTTCGACATCGGGCCAAAAAAACAGTATATAAGTGGTGGGTAAGTGGGAGTTGCTCCCGCCAGCATATATCCTCGTTCAATCAAACATGAAAAGGGAACCCCCTATATTTATAAGCGGGAAATTAAATAGGAAAATCATGGAACGAGAGGAGGTTCATCAGCAAGCGCATGTTTTCAGCTATAATTGTTGGACAATCTTCCAAGTAGCGGTGCCGCAACGGAATCCCCAGGACAAAACTGTCACAAAAATGGCTGTTTCTATCCCTAAGGATCAAAAGATGGTGCTATAAATTCACTTATCAGAAAGTAGTTGTTTTTAAGCTACTTAGGGGTTAAAGGGTGGTAAGTGCATCAAATTCCCATACTTAACGAAAATTGTGTTTTCCGATAAAATTGGGAGTCAGATTCAGAGCAACAGCAAGAATCTCAAAGCCATGTGTTTTTGTCTATCCATGAAGATCTGGTTTTGAAGGGGTTGTCACGGGCTGTCACGGCCTGTCACGGTCGTTTTCCGATAAGTCAACATTTTTAGTAAGAAAATATGCATTCGTCACGGGGTGTCACGGGTTCGTCACGGTCTGTCACGCACAACCCAAAAGTAGATCCTGACAAATTTTGACATATTGGGTCTTTTAATCATTGCTGTTGCCTAGACATCCAGGAAAATCCGACAAAAATCCGATAAAAATATATGAAAATCCGATAAGTATATGTTTTTGGGCATTGTCAGAAAAGTACCCTTGTGGGACCTACTTTGCCGATACTGCCCTATTTGTCTACTTCGATCCTCAGGGTATGGTGGAGAAACATCGGCTGCCCCGCCGATGCCAATAATTCATCAACCAAAATCTGGAAGTCAAAACTGGCGAACTTGGAACTTTCAGCCAAAATACTTCCTTTAGCCTTTTGTCACATCTGACGAGATCAAAACGGGCCCCAACGATTCCATGCGAACGCCTATCCCTTGATCCACCGGTCGCAGAACAGGTCCGAAGGCCGAGCTTCTCCGGCGTCTAGGCGTCACAACAGGTGCTTGAGAGTTGCTGCGAGGCTGGGGTATGCAGTTGAAGTTGGCACGGAATACATCAGAAGAGAGTATCCATGATAGTCAATGCTGTAATTACCGTTTTTTTTCCCATGGTTTTTCAACATATCATGGCAGTCATATCCGGTTTCATCCCCCGTAGTCGGCGACCAGTTTGGGTAGCTTCTCCTTGCGACTCAACAAGTTGATTCCCAAAAGATGTGGCTGTTGCCTCTGGCGATCGGATGCCAACAGCATGCGGTTGATGTCCTGTGGTACTTGGGGCGGCAGGTGTCGCAGAGATTCGCAGAGTATTCAGGGATGGTCAGTTTTGCCTCACCTACAGCCACCATTCTTCAGCCATTTTCAGCCCACTTCACGATGATATAGATAAGACTTGAGATACTTGAGGTAGGAGAAGCCACTTTTCAGCATCCTCTCCCAGATCTTGAAAGACTATCAAAAAGGCTGTGATTTTGCGTGATTTTGCTGGGTGACGTTACTGGAATGATGGGATTTCATGGGGAATCCCCAGATGTTGGTTTATTTCGCCTATCCACGGGATGTGAAGTCGCCACATGTGGCATCGCTGCATCGCCTTTGGGCGCCCGATGTCGCATGACCGGAAGGCCAGTTGGGAATCCATACATCGAACGAGTGGGGTGAACATAAACCAAGAACCAAGAGACTGAACTGTGTAGGTGCTAGTAGATGTAGTAGTTAGTACATGTGTTTATCACTGCCATTCATTGCCATTCATTGCCCCGAGTAGAATGAATATAAACTTGGACTTCACTCAGAATTTTCCCCGAGATCTCATATCTACTCTAGCAAGGGGAAGGTTGGTAGTTGAAGGCAGGTTCAAATGAATGTTGTATGACCTTTGCCATCCTTTGCCCATGTACTCCTCTCCGAGTTTCTAATCAGGATCTGTATGTTCGGCAGGAGATGTCGGATTTTTTTTGTTCTTCCCCCCTGCCTGTGATACACACACACATATATATATAATTGATATCTCTACATGTCTCTACATATCTCTGTTGTAATTTAACATAATAATCATAATAGCCATTGAACATCACCATTTTGAATAGGTAGATCATCGAACGAAATGGTCCCATTTTATCCGTTTTCCCAAGCAATCTGTTAGGCATTACCAGGTCATCATTGATTATATATGATTATATGATGTAATTGTCCATTCTATCCCCATTTTAGATGATTAAATCATATTAAATCACATTAAACCCCCACACAATTCAGAATGAAGTCCCATCAAATAAACCACCGTTGCAGAGATGTTCATCTCATCCACTCAGCTCTAGGCGCGCGGTGCCGTATGGACGACTGGCCACAGATGTCATTCTGCCACAAGCAGAGCCTGGCTGATGCCAAAACTGTGTTTTTTTGAAGGCAGGAACGATAGTCACATCCACTACCCTCTGGTAAACTAACAGTTTGCTAAGTTTGCTATGGAAAGTCACTCTTTTCATAGGTAAATCAGCTATAAATGGATCCTTTTCTATAGCCATGTTAGTTGACCAGAGGGCACCATTTGGTGGAAAATTGGACTTGATAGGAATTTCAATGAAAGTAGGACTTAATGATACTTACTCAGAGTTATTGGAATTTTGTAGGGATATTGTGTTTTGACATATATATATATAGAATCAATAATCATCTAACATGGGGAATAATGGGTATTCAACCAATGATGATCATCCACTACTCTCTGGTGGAAAATGGGGCTTGATGGGAAATTGTGTAGGGGCTTACAGTAATGGGAATTTCAAGAAACGTAGGACTTGATGGATCCGAATGGTACTGACCAGCAGTTATTGGAACCTTCTGGCAATGACTAACAATTATTGGACTTTAATAATCTTTAATAGGGATTGAATCACCTAAAATGAAAGACAATGTGTATACAACATCATACAACCAATGATGGTTTAGTAATGACTCACACTTTTAACAGTTTTGCTGCGGAAATTGGATCAAACAAGGTGCCATCTAGTTCGATAGCCATTCATAGCCATGGTATATTTGTCTGACATGGGATGGCCATATAAGGTGAGACCCCCCAGTTATAAGCTGCTTTTTGTATTCCCCATAAACCCAAGGGTAAACCAAGTGATAAGTCACTTAGCTATCATAAATCAGCAATAAATCCCATTAAATCCTCAAGTTTGTTGATTACCCTCTGGTAAATAACAGTTCGCTATGGAAAATCACCATTGTCAATAGTTAAATCAACTAATGGTCAGTTTCAATAGCTATGTAACAAATTACCAGAGGATACATCCATGAATATTCCAGTATTATACCATCATTATCCCTAGTTTATCCCTAGTTTCACCATATGAAATGTTGGTTTCTCAGGGTCATTTTCCTACAATGTGAGGCCCCCAAGATAGCTAAGTTGGTTTATAAGTCCAATAACTATGGTTTATGGTATTTATAACTATAGTTACTGGGGCGAATCTAACCAACTTATAACTGGGGGGCCTCACATTGTATGGTTTTTGGATGCCTCACCTTCGACATGTTGGGCGAAGCCGGGGCGAAGCCGTGCTTCGGATCATCTCGGCAGCTGTTCCCCGATTTTTTTTGGGGGGGGCGAGCTGTAAAAGACGGCTGGTTTCCTCAAGAAATCGCTATGAAGTCTCACCATATATATATATATATATATATATCCATTATTATATCCATTTATATAAATATATCCTTCAAGATCCTTGAAGCTTCCACGCGTTGATGACGTCGCTTCCAAGGATGTTGATGAGGAGCTGGCGACGTTCTACGTCTTCCGAGATGATATCGTGATGTTTCCCATCTCCTACTCGATCCCAAAGGATCAGTGAGTTCACAGCTCCGCCAAAGATATGGCTTCCATGTTGAGTCTATATGAAATTATGAGAGAAACACATATGATAGTTTATGTGGTGCGTTCCCAAACATATGATCTCTTTGTTACATCTAGATACAAAGTTGACTTATTTGATGGTGACTCTACTCCGTGTTTCACTGTTACACATAACCCATGATTTACATGTTAGATATACATATTGTTTTTGTGTTTGTTTGTGTGCGTGTGTGTTTGTTTGTTTGTTTGTTTGTTTCTTTTCTTTGTTATCGGATAGTGATCCAAGATGATCATTGGAACCCCAAATCCTGGCTGTGCCGCAGGACCGGATCCTGCGGGAGGTCCCTGAGAAGACGGAGTTTGCCCTCTGGGCCTGTGATGATCATGGGGGGAGAACCAGCAAGAGTCTAACAAAAATGGGAGAATGATGGGATTCAATGGGATTTAATTCATGGGTTTTCTGATAAGTTTTCTGATGGGATTGAATGGACTTAATGATGCTTATAGGATCTTATACTAGGGATTTCACCGGCAACAATGGGTATAAATGATGATTTACCTTGTGATATCTTGTGATTTTCCATGGGGTAACCAACCCCCAAAGCTCCATGTATGGAATATTTACTATCCCCACCATTTACCTGGCTACTCAAAATTGAATAAAAAGTTGAGGCCATGAAAATAAATCAAATCCCCGATCAAAAATCGGAGGCTTAGTTCGCTGGGACATCATCGAACTATATAGGAAATGTTCCAGCAGAATTGATTACCGGAGGGTACAGTATGGATAGTGAATAACTAACAAATGGAAAGCCAATAGCTGATTGTGATGGCATAGCCAACAATACTAGATGAGTAATGGATAGCTAATGGATAAAATTTGAGGATTCTTGCTAGTGCTGCTTGAAGTGATGCCCCGAGTGCACTGAGAACCACCAGTTGGCCTAAAAAAATGATTGGAAAAATGGTTGAGAAAATGATTTCCATTAATCTTATTTGTTGTTTTTTTTGCATTTCGGATTCAGCCATGGGATTGGGATTGGGTGCGACATGTGCGAAGATGGTGAAACTGCGGACCTGCCCAGGCAATGAATGATTCGATGAAGTCTTTCCAGTTCCTTGACGTGAAACGTTAGATGCCCGGCTGAAGTGCGAAACATGGTGAAACAATTGAAACAAACCTGCGGGAAAAAAATCTGAAGCATCTTCCACCTGGAAACTGCCATAGATCAAAATAGTTTTTGCAAATGATTTCATTTACTCTCCGGTACTCAAACGTGGCAATTGACAACTCCCCAAAAAATATAGTTTTATGATTTTCCCAGCTAGTAACCTCCGTGTAGCTTGGGGATTTTCCAGCCACCCACGTTTGACAGGTTCAAGAACTACAATTTTGGACCCCACCAGGTGCCTCCAGCCATGTTGTGCGGTGTGGAAAAATCATCCCACGAAAAAAAGTCAGCACTTCACTACCCTCGGGTATTCAAACATGGCGTGCTGGAAAATCCTATTTATGTAGTTCGATGATTTTTCCGTATTTTTCCAATAACAACTCCATTTAGTTTGGGGATTTTCCAGCCAGCCATGTTTGGCTACCGCAGCAATAACTGGGGATGATTTGATCACCCACCACTAATTCTTAAGGAAAGTCATTGGGAATTTTCTGCATGCCGCATCACATGGTTTGAACCAGATTTGGGTCATGTTTCGTTACTGGATAGCCATGACCTGTCCTCGCCATCCCCAACAGTTGCTCACCTGGGTAAAGTGCCAGGAGGAAGAGTATCACCAGCACATTCAGAAGCACCGTTTCGGTGACACACGGAGGAAAGGTGGCTTTGATTGTCTCAGGCGCTCGGGGATGAGATAAGCCCTTGATCTGGCAATGGCAATAGAGTCCTCGCAGATGACTTTCCCATTTTCTGCCATTCCCATTTCGCAAAGAGGGGTTGTGCCCCATGTGCCGTTATTATTGTTGCAAATGACTTTCCCATGTTCTTCCGAAGTTGTTGTTTTCCGGAAAAGGTGGTGCCCCCAAGCGACCATTATTATTGCTTGCTTGCAACCCCCCACCAACTAGAACAACTAATGTTATAATTCCCCCAAAGTGGTGCTTTATGACCCTCCCAAGGAGAAAAAACAATAGTTCACATCGGTTCAACAGAAACTCCACAGTTCACCTTTTTGGTTGTGATCACCAACTTCGCGTGAACCCGACGACACTGCCCCTGCAGGCACTATGAGCTGATGGCGAATGGCTGCATCCCGATATTTCACGACTTGGCGACTTGGCCTTTTTGGGAGCGTCCTTACAATCGTGGTGTGAATGAAGGTCCCATAGTCATACCCCTTGGTAATCCTGGATTTGCATGGATTTGCTGAATATGTGGTGTGCTTTCCCACTGGGAAACCCACTAGAAATGGGGAATCTATATATTCGTTGGGGTTGCTTAAGCAAATCCAAGATTCCAAGGGACAATATAGTTAAATCATGGTAAATCCTCCATGGTCCATTGTCCATAGCTATGTGAAATTTCCGGTGGGGTCCCTGGGAGAGTTGGGTTTCTCAGTTTGATTGAAAAGGAGGCTACACCATAAGGAACGTTTTCATATGGAAAATTATGACAAACCATAGGGCTTTCGGGTGCATACCATTGCATACCCCTCTTTCCAGACCAACCTATTGCCTATTTCAACAACTTTCAACAGTGATAATCCAAGGAAGTCGCACCCCAACTTTTTTTGAAGAAAACAAGCAGTCAGCTGATGGCTTTCGCATGCTGAGTTTTTCTGATTACATGGATTTGTTTGAAACTATGCTCCCCAGAAATCCACTGGTTAATCATCATTTTTCCCATTTTTCACTGGCCCCAAATGGGGTGTCTTGCGACGGTGGCCATGTGGGTCACCTCCATCATGACCGTCAGACCGTACTACCTTGCAACATAGCGCAACAGCATGTGCAACATTACATTTCCAGCTACACGTTTGAGTACATCATGTTGTTTTTGTTTCTCACACTGGGTGGTGATATCACCTCCTTCGTTCATCTGTTCGCGTTACTTGTTTCACACTTCCTCGTTACATCATCTCTACCTCGCATCATGTTTCCAATGAGGTAGTATAATAGTATAGCTTCCGATCTTGAGAAATCTTATTCAACCTATATATATAATTAAAATAATGATAATAATAATATTATTATATCTATCTATAATATAATAATATATATAATCATAATTATATCAACCTATCATATCTAGGTCCCATGATGTTCCCATCATTTTCCCATGGCTTACTGGTCGTTTGGATCACCCTAAAAAATATCACCGTTTTGCCCCAGGAGCACTTGCCCAAGAGCATTCTGCGCACGCTACCCAAAGATCTTCTCATGGAGGCGAAGGCAAGTTGCGAGCAGCGCCACCTTTGTTGGTTAGAAAGGGAGTATATGTTCGTAAAGCAATCAAACAGAAGAGATATGAGCCTGTTTTGTGGCTGCTATGCTTGGGTAGTAAGATGTAGTAAGCATGGGCGATCGCGAGAGATCTCAGGATTCAGGGCTAAACGACTGCTGCACCAGCCTACCACCGAGGGTCAAACCACACACGCGAACTCGATTCAAAAGTGGTGACATTATAATAGATATTGCCATCGTAGTGATAATCCACCATCAACTCATCAACCCAATAGTGAAACCATTGTTGAGTATGACGTTTTTGAAAAGTAGTCAGCATGATAATGACAACAATCAGCACCACCAGCACCAGCAGCAGCAACACAACCAGCATCATCATCATCATCATCACCACCACCACCACCACTACCACCATTACCATCATCGCCATCATGCATTATCAATATTCTTCAATACTTACGTATATACACATACATATACAAGCATTTACACACATATATATATACTGATATATTCATCAATATTCATCATTTGTCATTGATATTTCATTTGACCATATTTGTATAATTCTGTCGATGTGTCATGAAAATCCATGAGCTTCCGATCTTTTCCCGGTCACCGGAGGCGCTCTTCGCCTCCGAAAGCGCGACAGCGGAGACCGCGCTGTCGTCGGCGGCGCCGAACACGGCAAGGTACATGGACTTGGCACAGGAGATGCTGCTGTGGTCGCAGGACCGGTGGAGCATCAGAAGCCTGACCCGTTTATGCCAAGAAAAATGATGGAAGATGTTGAAAAATGATGGGAAATATGATGGAAATCATGGTTTGATATGGTGTGAATCTATTTTTTAAGGCCTAGCATCAGGGAGAAATTGGGTGGAAATCATAGTGGTAAGCTAAAGCCATGTATGTGTTTGCTCTGGTCGTTTTGGTCTTTTGGGATGAACATATAACAAGAGAGATAGAGGGAGAAGGAGACATGTAATCTACAATATATATATATATATATACACATTATATTTGAATATGTTATATATATATATTGTATGTATTTACATTTGTATAATATATATATATATATTTATATATCTACACATTATCCACAAATATCCTAACTGACATGTTTTTTTCTTGGTTTCTTGGAGCTCTGCAGGAATTGTTTTGGGAGGCATCTTCTGTAAGGTTGAGGGATCGGCAACTTTGTTCATGGTCTGCAACCTGTAGCCCGTCGGATTTTGTGTGCATTTTGAACTCTTAGCCATGCCGACCTGGGGATTATAAGTGTTGTACGTATCAATCCCCTATGCTATTGCCCTGAATTGGCAACTGGATGAAGCAACATTACAAAGGACCCCCATATTTTTTTGGGGAAGACCGGAAAACCATTGTTTAGTTTTGTTCTACTTTCACCCAAACTAATCTTTCCGTAGCCGTTCAGACTGCTTAGCACCACGGCGCCACAGTCTAACGTAGCTCGATCCGCCTTGCAGATCCGCCAGTCCTCAGTGGCCATGGCTAGCATTAGGGACTTGAAAATGGTCGGAGAGACTTGTGCCATTGGAGGATGCTACATCGTGGTGAGTGCCAGTTTCTGAGAGACTTCAGCTGGTGATTTTGCTGGGTATCCCAAGAATTATAATGTTAGCCTCCGATTAGTGTCATGGTACCCTATTGTGAGATGTTTTCCCTTCCTAATTGAGCGTCTTGCTGTTTGTGGAGGGGGGAGCGTCTATTGTGAGAAGTTGTTTCTCAGATCCAATTTTTTGGAGGAGGAAAAAATGGTTCAAGAAAAAATGATTATATAACAAATTACACTTGTTTATTGCACACCTGGTCCATTTACTTTTAGAAAGCCATATCCATGTTAAAGCCTTGAAAATGCAAGTTTTCCCAAATAATTAGATGCCTTATTAAACCCTTATTTAAAAACAGCACCACAACAATTTTTCAAGGGGGTACCCCATGAGTGACCCAGACCCTCAAGAATGTAATTGTTTCGATGGTACCCTATCGTGATTTTTTTGATGGTACCCTATTGTGCACAAAAACTTTTTGGTGAAAAACAGCACAAAACCTTTTATCCACCTTTCTTTGGGTAAAGCTGGTCCATTTACTTTGGAAAGCCATATCCATGTTGAAGCCTTGAAAATTCAAGGTTTCCCAAATAATTAGATGCCTTATTAAACCCTTCTTAAAAAACAGCACCACAACAATTTTTCAAGGGGGTACCCCATGAGTGACCCAGATCCTCAATAATGTAATTGTTTCGATGGTACCCTATTGTGCACACAAACTGTTGGGGCATGTTTTTGTTTTTGGATTTAAAAGGACAATCAATTGAAAGTAGATTCAAATGAATTGAAAGTAAAGTTTCAATTGAAATCCGTTCTTATCAATAGATTTCTTTTTAAGGTTTAAGACGAAAATCAATTGAAAGTAGATTAATCCTTTCTTATCAATAGATTTCTTGAAGGTTGAAAAGGAAAATTAATTGAACGTAGATTCAAATGAATTGAAAACAAATTGATTTCAATTCAAATCCTTTCTTAGCAATGTATCTTTAGAAGTTTAGAAGGAAAAGCAATTGAACGTAGATGGATTTCAATTGAAAGCCTTTCTTATCAGTTTTTTGAAGTTTAAAAGGAAAAACAATTGAAAGTAGATTCAAATGAATTGAAAGTAAATTGGTTTCAATTGAAATCATGTCTTATCAATAGATTTCTTGGAGGTTTAAAAGGAAAATCAATTGAAAGTAGATTCAAATGAATTCAAAGTAAGCTGGTTTCAATTGAAATCCTTTCTTCTCGATAGATTTCTCTGAGGTTTAAAAGGCAATTCAATTGAAAAAAAGATTCAGATGAATCGAAAGTAAATTGATTTCACTTGAAATCCTTTCTTATCAATAGATTTTTTTGAAGTTTAAAAGAAAAAGGAATTGAACGTTGATTGATCTTAATTGAAATCCTTTCCTATCAACAGATTTTTTGGGGTTTAAAAGGAAAATCAATTGAACGTAGATTCAAATGAATTGAAAGTAAACTGGTTTCAATTGAAATCCTTTCTTCTCGATAGATTTCTCTGAGGTTTAAAAGGAAATTCAATTGAAAAAAAAGATTCAGATGAATCGAAAGTAAATTGATTTCACTTGAAATCCTTTCTTATCAATAGATTTTTTTGAAGTTTAAAAGAAACAGGAATTGAACGTAGATTGATCTTAATTGAAATCCTTACTTAAGTTGGCTATCTTAAAAAACTGTTGAGGGGGGGCCACACTAATCAGAGCCCAACATAATGATCATTTTTGGATGCTAGGTGAGTTCAACTCGATTCGGCTGGTGGTTGTCATTGTTGTCATGTTTGATTTGTGGCAGGATCACTGAAATTGCCAAATCAATGGGAATTCCAGGATCCTAAAATGGAGGTACTGTACCATATAAGGCCATATTTTGTGGGGATATTCACCTACATAGGCCTTATATAGGCCTTTTATAGGCCTTATATATGGTAGGTACCCCCAATTTAGGATCCTGGAATGGCCATTGACCAAATGGATTATTATATTTATGGATATTGATGCGAGGATTTCCCATCGTCAGGTGAAGGACCAACCAAGGGTTCAGTTGGTATACCTGGTATACAGTCACCTAGCTGTTGTGCCGTTGTTGTTTTTACGTGGGCTTAAGCAGAAATATGTAACTGGGGCAGTTGGGAGTTCACCTCGGGGCCCCATCGCAAAGTAACCATCCTAACTCCAAGTGGTGGGCTCCTGACAATGGCTGCAGGTTTGATTGCATTCAACAAATATCTCATGAATGCCGAGCTCTTTCCTTATGCCAAAGCGATGACTGCGACCTGGATGTGCTATTTTCGACTTTCCCAATGGGAAATCCACAACATGGGAAATCTCTTGGGATTATGTCTTTTATTGCCTTTCGGGGGTTCGTTAAGCAAAAAAACCAGGCGATGCACATGCTCATGACCACTCTTCTGTCACTCTTGCTCTACACTGTCGCACCTTCGCTGTACCCAAGCATGGATAAAGCCAGGGAAAACTGGAGAACGGATACTTGGCGCATGACCATTGGGGATCTATCCAGAGGGAGGTATCCAGAAGGGGGGTATGGGTCAATACCTATGTGAGTTGCAGGCCCAAACACCTCACTTCGCCTAACATCACTCTTAGGTTTCCAAGGTTTAAAGTTTAAAGATTAGGTTCTAGGGAGTAAGTGTCTATATGTGTTTATTGGTTTTTGTTGTTTGCAAAGTGTGAAGCTGTAGGCTCGGGCTTGGGGGTTTTCCCGGGTTCAAACTGAGGCTTTTTAGGTGCTGGGATTCACCATGAAAAAAAATCCATGTCAACAACCAGGTAGCCAGGTCAGTTTGAAACAGGTGAACAGGTGAACAGATTTGGGGTGTACTTTTGTCATCTTTTGTCCATGAACATCCATAAACTCTAGCTATAATGAAAAAAATATCACCGAAATCACCTAAAATTAGTTTTAAATCAGCATAAAGCCAGTGACCACCTGATGATTTGTACAATTTGGTCATGATTTCGGGTTCCATTTCCATCATTTTCCATTGCCAGGTCCTGAAATATATCCTGCCCTTGGGCATGCTCTTTGCCTTAGCTCTTTATTGCTCCAACCGAGCATATCTCTACTCCTCGGTGGCCTTTCTTCAATTCTGTCCCTTGGCGATCTTGGCCACTGAACCTCCACCCCCGGCCTTGGATGCTTTAGGGCTGTGAAATTTGAGAGGAATCGGATTACCCTCTGGCAAATGTTTACATAACTATGGAAAATCACAATGTTTAATGGGTAAATCAACTATAAATGGCCATGTTCAATAGCTATGTTTGTTTACCAGAGGGTAAGTTCAATATGGGTCCCCAAACCTTGCTGTGTGGGGGGGGGAATCAGCCCCATGTCCGGTCGCAAAGTATGTAATTTGTCCGATGATATTGTGGTTTACTACTGTTGCTGTTTAAATTTGCTTGTTACCTCATTAAATCATGCCATATGTACATATATGGATTGTTTATTTTTTTCTGTTGTTTGAATCACTTTGCCTATAGTATACCTTGTCATTGGCCTAATTTTTTCTGGTTGGTAAGTCACATCAAATTTGACCCAGATCTCGAGGTAAGGAGGGCAATGTAGCCTTGATCTTTGCCATGTCCTGTGTTTTGGGCTTGCAGGCGCGGCACCCGACTTGGGGGAGGTGTAGATGTGGGCATGGGTCAAATGTTCCGCAGACGGATTTTGATGTTTTCCTGGTGTTATAGAGAACAATGACTATGACTATAACATACTATAACCATGTATTTTGGGTACCGTACTCACACCCAATTGTTCAGCCTCTTTTGACTGTTGGTTACTTCATGTTACTTATTTTAGATCATTCTGGCTCCGTTGAAGGGGGAACTCACAGGGCGCCATGAAGTTTGTGCGGGGCATGATGCATGTGCCATGCGGCATGCTCTGCGCAGGTCTTTAGCTGGCACAAGGTGGGCGGGTGACGCCTCAGCCAATTTCACTTGTGGATAGGCCAAAAGGGGGCTAGAGATGGTAGCTGTAACCCCATGGTACTTGTAATCCTACCCGCTTCTACTGGGATAGAAATGGCCCTTGGGGCCCATCATTGGAGGAATACCTTGAAGGAATCAAAAGCAACAATTGTAAATAAAGAAAACTGTATATACGTGCAGGCGTGCGCACATTATCTACAAGATAAGAAGTATATATAGACATATAGATATAAACTCTTGCGGGTTACTTCCCAATAATGACAATACCATTTTTGATTTCGATGTTTGCAAAAAATCATTGTTCCACTGTTTTTTTTTGGGGGCTGGAAGTGCAAGTGCCGATTTTTCCCATTCCAGGTGTGCATTCTGAGCATCGTCGTGGCCGGATGCTCCTTGTGTGCACATGGCCACTTGGGCGTCAATGCACCAGACAGCCCCCACTTTTGACACAAGAAATCCCCAAAGGGTGTTGCATTTTTACTCAAACAGTTTGAGAGTGATGTTATCATCTTTCTGGGGAATCCTGGACCTACTTTCTGGTGGTTAAAACGGTTATCTGATGGCCCAAATCCACGCCAATATCAAAAAGTTACCACTATTTTAGCAGGATTTTACTTGTCCATCTTTTTGCGGGTTGCTATCATTGCTTGACACACACTTAAAATTTTAAAAACCGAGGCGAGATCAATTTCGTTTGGGCGGGTTTTCTCCTGCAGATCACGTCGCAGATGGCAGAGTGTTCTAAAAACCTCATCGGGGAGGTGGTGATGTCTGGTGCAGGCGCGGCCGCCGCAGGAAAGGATTTTTCGACAGCCCTGGATTCCCTGGATAGGAACCTCGAACTCTCGGAGAGGATCCTGAACAGCATATTGAATCATTTTGTTCAGGATGCAAACTTGGAATTTTATACGCTTATTCTGCAAACTTGGGAGTTGATAATAACCCAACAGGCAGTTCTCAAGAATAGAAAGGCATGAAAATAAGGCGTTGCAGAGTGTCATGTAGATAATCTGCTCATAGGCTGATGATGCTCTGAACAAAATAAACGTACAACTATTTATATATACGTATACGGATAATGAGCCAATTATAGAATCAAACCCAAGATAAGCTATGATAAAACCAACAGAGGTTGAATAAACATTGAACAAACATAGAATCATGGACAATGACAAAGCCAAGATAAAACCTGCGAAAGTCCGCGCTCAGTGCTTCACCTTTTGCAAGCTCCTGCTGCTACTTCCGGGTAGTTTGTAGGGGTTATATCCCAACTGGATGGGGTTATTTCATGTTATCTCCATGTGATTTTACAACAGGTTATACATGGCAATACCCATGTATAACTTCAACCGCGCCGCACATTAAATGCCCATCTCACACTGCATTTACAATTTTGTGGATAGGGTTCAGGTATGAAGCCATACGTGCTGGGTAACATCCTCACTCAACCGAGGGGCAGCCCCTGATTTTCTGATCGCGCAATGTTGCGTATATTATTTACATATGTATGCTATGTTAGTTACACAATGTAGTTGTCTATCCGCAACCTCTATCTATACAGAATATTTACAAATAAATCCGTATGCCAATTTAGAATTTACTTTACATGTGTGAATGGAAAGATAAACCTCACACTTCTCTACAAATCAATCTCAATCTCAACACATAAACTTTAGACCTCTTTATTCATCTCATTTAACCTCCATTTAACCTCCATTTCTTCAGAACTCATCAAGTTGTTTTTCAGGTATGAAGCTGGACGTGTTGACCTTTGTGATGTTCCAAGCTCCGTGTTCTTTGGTGCCTTTGCTGATCAGCCTCGTTCTCTCCTGGGAGCATGACATTTGGCTGGCCTTCCAGGCGCCTTTCTGAAGGGAAGCTTCGTGTGGGTGAAAGTGTGGGTGAAAGGTTGGGACTTTGCAGATTTATCTACAATCTACAGATATCTACAGATATGATTTATCTAATAGTTTTACATTATGAATTATAAATTTTATAATAGATACCATTGGGAGATTGCATTTTTATGTGTATCTATTATGTTGGCATATATATATTATATAAACATTATAAACATGAATCATGATAAATAATAAATACATACATACATATATATATATATGTGTGTGAGTTTGTATTTACATATGCATATGCTTTTATTTTTCTATTATATACATGGTATAGTATGTACACATATATAATATGATGCGAATATACATGTATGATGTTGACTTGGATTGATCGGTAAGGGGAAAGAGGGATACACAAGAACAGATAGATAGCTAGCTAGCTAGCTAGCTAGGTAGCTAGGTAGGTAGGTAGGTAGGTAGGTGGGTTGGCATGTAGGTAGATGGATAGGTGGCCAGAACAGACACTGTGAAACGGATTTTTCCTGCACGGAATATCGAGGCTCCATTTCTTCGCGCTGCAAGTGCAGGGGTGTGTGATTTGAAATAAAACTAGGCCAAATGTGGCCAAAGTATGTGTTTATTTTCCATGTTTGTGCAAGACGGTGCAAGAACCTCTGAATCTAATCTACATCAAGTGTGGAACATCACAAGTGTGTGAACATGGCCCCAACGCTATGCCCAAGCCATGAGACAGAGCCCCATCTCGGCACCAAGGCCCATTGGCCGATGATTCTGTTGAACGCTTTGTGTCTTGCTACAATATGCTATGAACGGTACCCCAAATGATTGAAGATTTGTATTATCCCAAATAAACCAACAATAACACACACACATATATATATATATATATATCATATAATAATGATTATTATTTCTTTATTAATTTATAATCCCACATAATCCCTATTATTGTTGTGGATGCTCTCCATGCTTATTGAGGTGCTGTTTCGTTTTTGTCCGTCAGATTTTCTTTTTTGCCGGTTTCTCGGGACAGATCCGTTTCAGTTCCTGAACCTTGGCTCCCTTGTTATTTGTTCAAAGAGGGTCAGATGCTTGGATGATCCATGATCCCCAGGTTCTACTTCCCAAAATGCCTCAGGACCCCATGAAATCTTCATGGAAATCCATGACGATCCCAGCGTCCTTAGGAACGCCTTCTGTTTGAACCTCATTATTGCCACGACCCTGAAGCGCTTGTCTGCCGTCGCCTTCGTCATCATCGGCATCGTCAAGGTTTTTTTTTGGTGAAATCATGGTACCGGTGCTGGATCTAGCGAACAGATTGGGAGGGCCATGACATGGATAAATGGTGATGTTTAATCTGCATATGTACTATAACAGCATTTCAACACGTTATTTATTTATACAACTTTACACATACATATGAGTGTATGATACTGTATGCGTATCATGTATATCATGTATGAATGTACACATGTATATTTGCCACCCGAGTGATATAAGATAATGTAACTAACAAGGGCCAGGTATCCAGCCTGACCCCTCCAGCCATGCAGGACAGCGTGATCGTCAGTACCTCCTCATTGGTCTTTGGTGACCACATCTCGCCCCAGCAGCAGGTTGGGGTTCCCAGGATGGTTCCACAACAACCAAACAAGGACATTCAGCAGCAAAAATAAAAATGTTCACCAAGAGTACGGTGTGTTTGTGGTTTTATGGTTTTATGATGGTTTTGTGTGGTTTTGCTAATTTATCCATATCTATGATAGGTAAAATGGTTTATAATTACACTAACTACCTCTAGTGGGTATATCTCCAGGGGTCCCTGTCAGTACCAAGTTGTTGGGTCGTGTTTCACAGAAACCTTGGACCAGGTCCTGAGAAGGAGAGGATTCATTCCTAATTGCTACATCGGCTAATGGGTTTTTTCTATGGTTTTATAATGTTTTATACCTTACATAGGGTACTGTAGTAGTAGTAGTACAGTAAGTTTTATGATGTTTTATGGTAATCATCAGGTTTTTATGATGGTGTTGGTCGCAGTTCATGACCCCATGTTTTTTTGGGTTCTTCTCATCCCGATTTTGATGGCAGCCCGGCTGCGCGGTTGGAAGCGTCCAGGTTGGCTTCGTGGTGATCATGACAGGTATAGCCTGCTGGAGTTTTATGAAGCTCGGCTGACTGGTGTTGAAAATATTAGAAGGTTCTGAATTCCAAGTAGTTGGACAGTTGAATAGTGAGGATAGGAGGATATGTGTGAACATCTTGGATGGTTTAATTGGTTTAATGCTTCATATGTTGATTTTTGAACTTCATATTGGCAGTTGATTGCATTGGTGAATGCACGAAATAATGATACAAATGATGATGGTATTTACTGTGTGCGTATGATAATGGCGAATAACAGTTATATAGATTACAGGATTTGGATTTACATGCATTTACAGGATACACAAGTTTTTTTACTGTTGGTTGATGATTGGTCGAATATAAGATATACATATATGATATATGATATATACTTATGCATTGTATACTTGCCATCGCTGAGATATGATTGCATTTTTTGTTGGGTTCAACACATGTTGGTTTCCGAGAATCGTGCAGACACATAATTTGAATGACCATATATATATATATATATGTGTGATTTATACATATTATTTGTATTAATATGTATATCCCTTCAAACGCCAATGTCAGATACATAATGATGATGTTGATTTGTTCTGTTCAAAAAAAACAACATCCATGGTCCATGTGTCGCGCCACGTGAATATTGGGTTCAAGTCCGATAACTCTTTGTATGGACGTGAGACACCAAGAGGGTCTGTTGCAGACGTTCGCTTGTCAGACCCTGGAAGCCATGGACTTTGATACGCTCATGCCATCGCAGTCACCATGCCGCCATGTAGGTTACAGGAAGGTGTCGCCGGTGTCGCCGTCGCCGGTTGCATGGGCGGACCCAGCCGGCAGTACCAGCCTTGGACTACACAGCTCAGCCACAACCGGGTCGTGGTCCACACATGGACCCCGTCATGAGCGCATCATCCGCAAGATGTGCCTCAGGAGTTTCTTGCGTGCCAATGGGTTCAAGGAGGGCGACATACACACCGCACGGGTGGGTGGCTGCTTCTTCAAGAGAAAGAGCGTCTATCCGATTCATGTTGCGGCCATGCAGGGAGACTATGATGTGATGCTCCTCCTTTTGGAGGAGGGAGCAGATCCAGAGGCAGAAACCTCCAGGGGTCGCACGGCATTGGATTGTGCACTGACAGGGTGCGGTTCCAGCCAGATGACGGTGAAACTCTTGCAGCAGTGGCTCAAAAAGTGATCGCACCACTGCCATTCACTGTGGAGATTTTTCCCTTCAGAATAAAGACTCTGAGTCAATTCTGAGTATCTCTGTGGCAGCCAAGAAGCCCTTTTTTCCTCAGTTATTTGAACAAGAGCACCAGGTTCTGTCCAAATTTCTGCATCACCTGCCGGTTACATGAGCTGACTGAACAGGTTCTACCTTTCCATTTGCCCATGTCGCTTCGTTTTTCCACATCAGAGCAGGTATCCCCCTTTCTGAGCACCAAGCGACAAGGTTGTGGTTGACTCGGCTCGTTTTTGCATGTTTTTGCCCATCGGTTTGTCTGAAAATATGGTGCAATTGACCCATCTTCAGACACATCCATTTGTGAGTTTCCTTTCTGAGCACGAATGCTAGGTTCTGTTCAGATCCCCTCACATCGACTGTTGCATGGCTTTGTACAGCTGTCGAGCTTTCGAGCGTCTCCCCAACAGATTGCCTGAAAACAAGTGTCTCTTACGGTTGGGGAAGGCGGTAAACCCAATCAGTTGGATTTATGGTGGTTTAGGCTCTACAGGACCAATTTCTGGTCAAATTGGGATGTTTTATTTTCAAAAAATGTATTTGATTGAAAAAACACTGTCTTCGAAACATACATAAATGATGCATACTTATGGCTGCCTAGGTAACACACACTATACTATTCTTACAACTGTAGGGTCTGCTATATCTGCCTTTTTTGGTGTCAGCTGCAGGAAGATCCAGGAGCAGCAAAGCGCCAAGCGGGAAACCGAGCCCATCCTCGCGCGCGAGCTGCGCAGCTCCAGGTCCGACGCGGCCCAGCGGGTCTGAGAACCGCCAGCCACGGACCTGGCTGACCTGGCGACCAAAAATGGCCGAACGTCGGGGGGATGAGATGAGACATGTTGAGGCTGATTTTAAGAGATTTTAAGCCTTTTCTTTGAGAAAAGACATAGGCAAAAAAAAATGATCATTGATCATATTGTATAGAGTTGTGTGTTTGTGGGATGTTTGTGTTGATTCTCTCAATATGGGTGCTGCATGGTGCTGTTATATAATTATGTATTTACTGCTGGTGTATAGAGTGTAGCCTTTCAAATGGTATTAGGAGTAAATGTCGGCCAACATCACATGAATGGCATGCATGAAGCAGTTGGAAGATGTGCAGACGTGCGTGCATATATACACTTCTTCTTTGCCTGTACACATATTTGCATCATTTTGAAACATGCTTGTTCAACGAAAACTTTGACAAAACGAAGTGGACGGGGCGAAATGTTAGTGCCTTTATCCTGTAAATTGTTTCTTTATTTTAAACCAAGGCTTCCCTTGTACTTCTTGAGGTATATGGTTTTGTTGGCATTTGTTTATTTTCCCATTGGCCTATTGACCATGACAAAATGAAAACAGAAATTAAACGAGAAATGAAGATGGAATTGAAGTTAAATGAAGACGTCCAGTCTTTGACAGCAAAACATCTTATGTGATATGTTTTATTGAATCTATTGTATTGTTTTAAATGCTGCCCTTACGCAAATCAAAGATAATAGCCCATTCGAAATTGCAGTTGCCAGAGGGTAGATGAATCCTGCTTGGGTGTTGCTTTGCAACTGGCTACATCCAGGTATATAAAGCAAAATGGTCCCTTCAACATCCTTCAACTGTCATGTTTGTTGGTCTCGTTGCTTTTTTGGGGGGCCTATGATTGAGTCCCCATGCACTCCAAATCACCATGTCCGTCACTGTGTGTTGAAAAACAACGCGCAGGAGAAGATTACCACGGAGAGCACTGCAAGGCCTTGAATGTCAGTCTGATTGCTGGGAAATCCCATCTAGTTTTAGAGGAAACAACATATACTGTGGTCATCAATCTATTTTCATAGGGATCACTATCTTTCTCTCTCTATAATATATATATATATATGTACACACTCATTCTTTTGGGATATCTGGCCATCTTTCTGGCATCTATTCTGACATTGTATGTTTGGGCCCAGGAGTGCTCCACTGGATGTGGAGCTCGCGATATGGCTCACAGCAACTGAAACCCACAGTCACGACGAGCTGCAAAAGGAGCACAGCAGGAGCAAAGGAGGAAAGTAGGAGTAGGAGGAAGAGTACGCGGAAGAAGAAGAGGAGGAGAACGAGGAGTTGCACCTTTGTTAAAATCAAGAGACCCTCACTTGGCAGGTGGGGCACAACTTAGCTAATGAACTATCCACTATTTTGCTGGTGGCTTTGTCAGTGGTTCAGGTACATTCTTCGCACCCTGAACATCGATGAGGCAACTGCCAAAGTCTTGTCCCTTGGATTTTGCATTTCGATGCTGTAACATGATGCATCAATTTAGAGAGTGTGGTTTCAAAGTGTCCCAAAAAAGAAAACAAAACAGGTTTGTTTTGAACATTGTTGAACTTTATTTTGGGATATTTTAAGATGATGATGGCAACTGACCCTTTTCCAAATGGGGCTGAAACCAGCAACCAGAAAACAATCCCCCTTCAACCAGGTGAGCACACATTTCAGGGCCACATTTCGAGCTACCCATTGGTTTGACCGAACTGGCGATTCGTGGTTCGGTTCCCTCGTGCATCCCATCTTATCCCAAAAATCATCTGTCACATTCTTGAGGCCTCATAAGTTGCACAGAAACTAACAAAACCCTCTGTTGTCATCAAACATGGTAATGGAAAATCCCTCGCTTATAGATGGTATTCCTAGCTAAAAACTTTGTTCGGGGATTTTCCAGGCAGCCCTGTTTGATGACACCATTTCGGGTAACTATCAACTTCGCTGCCCAGGTTTCTTCCCTGTTCGCCCTTCGATAACTTTCCGTCGTACTTGACTGCTTCGGTCTTCCACGGCCTTGTGTCGCTGCTTGGCGACAGGCCGTTCGGGAAATCTTGGTGGTGTTTTCCATGATTGCTGCGGAAAACTATGCCAACAAGTATGGGATGGAATGCGATTATGACCAACCAACGTTTTTTTAAGGGATTACAGGATTTCCCAGATTGTTTGCTCACAAGACAGGCGGTTTAGATAGTTTAGTCCCATACATGTGCGTATGAGATATGATAACATGATCAATTGTGCGGGCCCTTGTGGCGCAGCCATTGTTGTTTCGCAATCAACATGGTAATTTGATGAGGAGGAAAGTGTGGAAAGGGAACTGGTTTCACTGATGTGTTTTGTGGTCACCCTTGAGATGTTTTTTTCTGCATTTGGTGGTCTCTCCTCTCCAAGTCTTTCTGACACGTTTCAGTCTGGATGCGATGACTTCAACGTACAATTCATAGCCTTCCAAAAATCATCACGTTATTGTCACTACAAGATTTAATCATATTTAATCTTGAATGCAGGTAGGGATTATGATGGCTTAAGCCGGTTAAGCACTCTATTAAGGGATCAACGCTTGGGTAGGGAATAGCATGGAATAGCATCCTTGCAGAGCAACTTTGGGTTGCTTGAGTTGACCGAAAGTGTGTGTATCTCATGTTTCTTTTTGAACCAGCCAAATTACCCTCTGGTAAACCAACGTAGCTATGGAAAATCACCATTTTTAATGGGAAAATCCACTGTAAATGGCCATTTTCAATAGCAAACTGTTAGTTTACCAGAGGGTAACTTTGCTGATTTTTGGATTACAACTACAACCACGTGTCTACAAGCAAACTGCTTGCAATACACATGTAAAGTCTAATCTTTGGCCCCCGTGGTCAGAGTGGCTCTTGAGAAGGGTTGGTTTCTCCCTAGTCCTCTCCGACTATGCGCAGGGTGGTGGATGTGCCAGAATATGTCTATGCATATCAGTACGACGCTTGGGCCACAAGTCCCTTCCCAAGATTGCCTGCAATTGTGACCGGCTGATGAGGCAACTGGCTAGGATTGTCTTCAAAAAACATGGCTTTGAGGAACTTGAGAAACGGAAGATTGGATGAACACAATGACCATCAGACCATCCCCAGCAACGCCAACATCCTGACCCTAGGACTCAGGTGGAGATTTTGAGGGAGATATGAAGCTCAGGGCCAACATTTGGGGCCAAGGTGCACCGGACCTGTGACCCCGAGGTGAGCCCAAGGAACAGCTATGGCAGCAATTAGGGGATCATTAGTATGCCAGTTGCTGTCATAATGATTCAGAATGTCTGGTTGGTGGTTTGGAACATTTTTTCTTTTTCCATATATATGGAATAAATAATCATCCCAACTGACTAATATTTTTTCAGAGGGGTAGGTATACCACCAACCAGATGTCATAGATCGAGGGATAGTCTGGGTGCGGGTCTTGATCTTTGCAAAGCCAACATGGACCGCTGTGGACTGCTGAAGACAACGGAAGAAGCGATTGGATCCAATGCTTCTTGCACCAAATATATCCAAATGATCCAAATGGAGGTCTCATTTGGTTCAGTCGGTATCAAATCCGGCAGCATCTTAAGGGAAACATGATTATGTCTCGCGAAGGCAGCTTCAGAAAACAAGGGGCAACCATGGGTTTTACCATCATCGATGTGCGCAAATAGGACTTTCCTGGGGACAATCAGTCGCACAAGGTGGTGCCGTACAGTTTGTGAAGGCCTAAAGTTGGTGCACAGAACCCCAGTAACATCCATGAACTCTATCATAAATAATGATATATCTGGCGTAAACCCCGAGAAGTAATTGGAATTATCAAGTTATGAATGGTGATTTCTTAAATGGGGGATCCCCAAAACCATGGGTTTCAATACTAAGCCATGGTCATCCATGACTTGGATGATTATGATGATTTGGGGGTACCCCCATGACTTCGGAAACTTCCAAACCCACTTAGCTAAGGATTTGGGGCAGCACCGGTCGCCAGGTTTTACCCTGGGTTTCAAGTTGCCGCAGCGGCCATTCCTGGACCGCAGCAACATCTCTGCACGCATCGGGCGACGCAGCTCGGCTAAGGACGTTTTAAGGAATGTTAACAAGATATGGAGGTTTCTTCAAATTGGGGGACCTCCAAAACCATAGGTTTCAATACTCAAATGGTCTAATGACTTGGATGATTTGGGGGTAGCTCCATTTTAGGACACCCTCATATGACCCTATAGAAATCTATAGAATATTTCTGGGCATAAAATAACAATTCTATGTCGTGGCCCCGCTTGGCGGGATTCCATGTTGGCCAACTCGTCTCCACAGAGGTGAGTTTGACCTCATTGTGTTCGGTCGGATGAGTGCCTACGAGCCCTGCAATTTCTATGCACCTTTTGGTGATCGGCCACAAGCAGTGCCTGAATTCTACGAAGACGTGTGTCTAGTCTTGATTGGACCGAAGTCAGGGATGATGGATCTTATATGATCTTATATTGTTTGTAATTAATGTCATGTGGGTAAGGTGATGTAAAGTAATGGTAAACGGTAAGCAATCCCCAATTTTTGTTTATCCATCAACAGCTGGTTTAGTCAACTCTCAGGGCCTTAAGTGGACACTGCGAAAACTGGTACACCGAGATTACCCGAAACAGTGTCATTAAGCATGGGAATTGACAATCCCCTGAAAATGATGTTGTTTAATAGGGAAATGAACTATAAATGGGCATTGTCCGTTGCCATGTTTGATTGCAGGAGGGTACACAAATCACAGCTTGAGGTTTCGAAAACCGCAATCGGCCGGCAATCTACGCTGATGTCCAATCCCCCTCATTGCTGAAGTCCTATCGCACAAACATGCGCAAGTCACCTATGCAGCATGAACAACCACTGGAGGTTCAGACATGTTGATTTTAATTTTGAAACAAATTCAAAGATGTCGTCCTTCATATATATATATATAATTAATATATATATATACACACCAATATATATATATATACATATAGGCTAGGTATACTAGTTATATATACATATATATTTGCATACAAATTTCTTATTCAGAAATATCTGTCGTTCATGCTCCATCCCCCAAAAAAAAAGATGGGCCCATCACCCGGCTTCGTCAAGGTCAAGGTCATACCCCAAAGAACGGGTGGCGTTGCTCTACGGCGATGATTCAGGTGCCCTGGTGGATTGGGTAGGAAAAAGGGGATTGTACTTGGTCATTATATGTTATTACATGGTTGTACTATTATTATTATACTACCATGTTTTATATTATACTACCATGGGTATACTACTGTTATATGTTGTTACGCTACCATGTTTTTCATGTTTTTTTCTCCCAGGTGGTATTTATTTTCAAGTGTATTTTTGGGATATGTGATGATATCTATTGACAAAATACGATACTGGGATAGGAAGTTGCAAAACAAAGGCAACTCAGTTAGTTGGGTAAAGATAGTACCATCTGGTTATTTAACATAGCCATGGCAAATCACCATTTTTAATAGGTAAACCATCTATAAATGAGCCATTTTCCATGGCTATGTTAAATAACCAGAGGGTATATAATGATGATGGTGATATGGCTGAGATAGGTCAATTTTCAGACATGGAGCATGTGATACCGTATCTAGCAATCAGCCACATAGCCAAATAGCAATTAACAATCCCCTATAAATTATATACAAAATGGATACAAATGGAGCCATTCATAGGACATCAAGTATAAATGGTGGATTTTCCAACCAGCCATGTTTGATTACCGGATGATAATATCATAGTATCCAGGTTCTACATCTGATTGCTGGTGTATTTTTTTTATTATTTCCATCCCTACTCGTATGTGGAACGATGATCCCAAGTGCCTTGCATGGTTCTGTTCAGAACATACCCCGTGAAGCAACCATTTGGTGCGCTATGATTTAAACTTACAGTATAGATCTCGTTTACACCGTTTCCAGATTCAGGGTTGGATTCAATAAGTGCTGGTATCACAAAATGCCAAAGATCTTGTTACAAAGCATCTACCATACCCCTAATAAGGTGAATCACTTCTCAATCTTGGGACGCAACCATGTAGGCTGCAAACAGTGCAGCGACAAATCCCATCAGCCGAAACAGGTATTGATGATCCGGTGATGAGGACGCAGCTGTACCGTCGCTCACTTGGATTTGTCAGTCCGGAGGCTAGTTCTAGCTGGTACCTGGTTTCCTACTTGTTCCATTGGAGCACAATGCTTGTAGAAAGAAGCTCAAGTAGATTAGATCGTCAGTCAAGAATAAACCGAAACCCCCCTATGGGTGAATCGGTGGAAAATGATGGATGCTAGATGTTTAACTATGAATGAGTGGTGAAACACCTAATGAAACACAATGAAACACATAACGAATTTTACCATATAGCCATTAGTGGTTTACCCGGCTGACCATCCATCTATATGATCCATTCCGGATAGATCTTCGCCACCATGGGACCCGCTGAGGAATGGCTCCCATGAACTCGGGTCTTGGGATGGTCTTCCTCAGAGAGCTGTTGCCCTTCGTCTCCGAAGGCGGAACCCGGCGGAAGCCGCGCAACAAAAAGGGGCATCTGGACATATCCAAGGGACATTTCCTGGGAAGTTTATGGGAAAGTCTTACTATAGATACAACCAGATACAAATGACAAAACAAAATGATATATAATTATATATATATATTTAGATAGATAGACAGACATATAGAAAACTAAGTGGCTAGAAACTGAATTACGTCTTTAAAAACATCCCAGATAAGGGTTTATGACCCCATAACCTATCTCGCAGTTCCACTTATACATAGATGTATGGTTACATCGAGTTATGTCATCTTATACCTATCATATATCCATATTAATGATGGTTATAGAATGTTATAGATGTATTTCCACTTGTCCTATCATATATATATACATATATATTATACATATCCCAGCTTGTGGTGGTTTCCATGGTTCTAGCCATCGGACCATCCCTCCATAACCGGGCGACCGGGCGACCGGCGCAGGTTCTGATGGCGAGACCTTGAGGCCGGTGGATGGCCGTGTGCTGCAGCCCGGCTGTTTCTATGAGGTGCGTGTGGGCGTCAAATTGGAAAGCCCAAAGGCACGTAGTTCACCATCATTGTATCATTGTATCATTAAGATCACACACACACATATGTATATATATATATATATATCGATAGATGCACTCGTGTATATGCATATGTGTACATATATATATATATATATGTATGCACATACATGTAAGTATCTAGTTCGGGTCTACCTGATTCCATGGAACCAATCAATAGTATTGGAATGAGCATGGGTTTCCCAAAAAAAGGCATGTAGGGTTTAGGGTCCTGCAGTCCTGTTTGAGAAAATCTCATGGCAGATTCCCGCAGGTGGAACCATGGTGGTGTAGTGATGTCAGATGCCCCCTCTATATGTGTGTGATTCACATCTCCACAATGTGGCCCCCCCCAGTTATAAGTTGGTTTAGATTCGCCCCAGTAACTATAGTTATAAGTACCATAAACCATAGTTATTGGAGTTATAAACCAACTGAACGCTATCTTGGGGGCCTCACATCTCCAGGAGTGGTTGGAGTTTTTCCGTTTATGGCGTTCTCCCAGTTGCAGAGAAGCTGGGAGTTGCCTTGTGGACTGCGTGACTATGGCGAGCTGCGGGGTCTGTAGGTCAAAAGAACTTACCCGAAAGCCGCTAGACTGTAGGTCAAAAGAACGGTCTCCTGTAGTTTTTTTTACATGAAATCAACCCAGTGAATGTTTGGAATCTTGGGAATGAATGCATTTTGCCCAGATGGAAGTGATTTGGGTTGCTATCCAGTGGTTAATTAAGAGGGGAGCTAAGGAGCAAGGAGCATCCATATTCCCTACCAAATGGGGAGCCAAGGAACGACCAAGAGTTTCCCAACCACATGATAGGCTGCCATTTGTTTATATACATGCTTTTTGGCCTGTTATCAGATTCATTGCACACTTTTGGCTTGATAGTTGGTCATGAATCATGTGTAATTGTCTGTCAATCCCCAATTGGGGTGGAATGAACATCTCCTACACAGTAAACCGAGCATCACACTGCAACAGGGGTGGTGTATGAATGTGCATACAACCATATACAACCTATTTCTCTCAGAAACCGAAGATGGTTTTCGATTGGAGGGTGCCAACAAAAATCCCGTTCCCTTTCCAAGCTCCAGACATGGGGTGATTTCAACACATTCTTAAAGCATCCGAAAGGTCCAGGTGATCCATATTTTTTCCCAGACCCTCCCCCAGAAAGAATCTGGGTTCATGGGATCCACGCGACCAATCCCCACTGACCTATTTCTCTGTTTTGGTGCCACCCGAACGGTTTTACCAACAGATCTAAAAAACATATGTTTTTGGGCATAGAACACATGCAAATAAACAAAACAAACAACTCAAGATCCCGAAGAACACCCAAAGCATCGATTTTCCCCAAGAAATATCACCGAGGTGACCGTGGGACACTGCGAAGCCGTCAGGGAGCTGATGGAGTGCCTCAGCAGAACTTGGGGAGGGGAACAGCAAGAGGAGCGGACCCGGCTAATACCAAACGGGGTCGGCGGAGAGAAATTACACTCAATCCTGATGGCTATTCATTTTTTAAAGTAATTTCGACAAATTTCCACAATTGCCCATAGCAACAAATATACTTTTGAACTCTTTTGATTGCAAAACTTAGACACTGCCTTCTCGCTTCCACTGGGACTCGGCGAAGGCGATGGAAAGCGATAACAAGGTAAACCCAACAATAAACCATCCCCTTCACAAACCATGACTGGAGGTCATAGTCATGTTGAATCATCCCATTTCTCTCCATTTCCAGGGGCATACATACCTTATAAACCATTGTAGGGGATGGCTAGTGTTGGGTTATGAGATTTTGCCAGCAAACCTTCTCTTAAGTAGGATGGAACATCCACCATTTAAAGTCATGTTTTTCCCAGCTAGAAAGCTCCATTGACTCAAAATTGTCCATTGCAACGTTTGATACCCATCAAACGCCCATCCTAAATCCACGTTATATCAGTTATATCCCCATGATACCATCAGTTTTGATGGTTGAACAAGTCGAATCCCTATATGTGTCACCATGTTTTATGGTGACATCCCGGTTCCCGGAGAGCCAGTTATAGATCTCATTCAATTCCCACTATATTCCCATTCTATCCTAATTATATATATTCCCATGTGTTGTGCCCATATTTTTCCCCATATTTTTCTCCTGCATGGGGTGGTTCAACCACCATGAAATCAGCATTTCTCAGGTCCGCCAGCTTCGAGCTGCTTCCACCGCATGATCCTCCCATCGCACAGCAGTTCTGTCGCAGCGGTTTCTTGCTGAAGGACGGATGATCTGCAGGCTTTGAATGGTAGGTTTAATTTGGTTTTCAATGGGATTTGATTTATATAATGGTTTTTCATGGTATATAGGTGGGTCTTAAATGACTGACTTAGCTAAGTTGGTGTAGGGTTCTATCCACTAACGGGCGGATGTAAGGGGAATTAATATGATATCATGGGTAGGAATACCTACAAAATCTACCATAACTGCTGGGTTTCTAGTAGATATACTGAACTAGTTCATGGGGTGAACAGAACCAACTATAATATACTATATGTAATTATATAACATTTTACTGGGGCGCACGTTTTGAGGTGGAACCTGGCAACTGGATTTTGCTGAGTGATGTAAACATTGTTCCCATTGGGCAATCCACCAGGATTGAGGGATCTCCTGGTAGTTCTGATGTTCCTCGCGGGCAAATGGAAGTTTTGAGCAGGACATGATTTGTGAAAAGTCCCGAGGTAAAACTTGTGGGAAGATCCATGGACGGATCATGATAACCCATGTTTTTTTTTCCAGAGGACATGGTGGGATTTTATGGGTGTTTAACTTCCAGGTGAGATAGGAAGGGCCTGTAGCAATCCCATCCATCGAATCAACTCGCGTCATGACAGCTTTCCGAACACAGAACACAAATCAATAATAACATGTGGAAGTGATGTGCGTGTTTCTTAAACTAGGGGACTCCCCCCAATTATCAAACACAGCTACTTGTCTATGCGGAAAGCAATTTGGCGGATCCTCCATTTTAAGATACTCCAATTTCTGACATGTTCACTGTGCCCCCGGCTGACATGGGAAAATATCATCACGCCTTAGACGGCAAGTGGCATGGGCAGGCAGCGGTGTTGGTGCAATACTACCTGCCAGATGCGTGTTTGGATGACTTGCATCTTGCCGCATGCCGGTGTTCCTGTGATGATGATGCCTGCGTGGCTTTGCATTAAGTTCCAAAGGAATAGTGACAGGAAAGCCGTGTATTTGGAGACAACCATTGTTTCCTGCAAACATGTCATAACATTCCTTCAAAACATCCCCTTAAAACATGGGCATCTATGCCATGAAGGCTGGAGGTTCCCACTGGGGTAACATGTTGCAACCTCTGACCTATCCCCGGTGATCATGGGGAATGACTCGGTACACCCTGGTGTCATGGCCCAAAAAAGGTGCCACAAAAAGACTTCACCCTCCGACGTCATCCCCAAAGACGGTCCAGGTAGCTACGTTTGTTTAGAACTTGCTGAAGTGGGCTCTATTCTGACTAATAGAACAATATATAATAAGCCCACCAAACTCGGGGATGGTTTATGGCGTCGGGGTTTACCACATTATACACATAATTAGCCAATAGTCATCCATTGTTGGTTATATTCACGTCATTAGCCCTCATTAACCCTTATTAACCATGAAACATGTTGGTTAAACCTATATCTACACAAACATATCTCCATTCTTATATATATATAGTTAGATGGCCGATGGGTAAATAGCCCCCAACTTCTAATCACGGCGTATTACCTCGGACCTATGGATGATTATGGAAGTTTGATGTGGAAGCCATGTGAGTTTCCACATCGAACAGTTAGTTTACCTAGTTTACCCCAGGCTAAATCCATATCGTGGTTCAATCACCAGAGGGTATGTCATGCATTGACTGAATACGCAACTGAGTGATACTGATTGATGATTTCACATCCTTTTGATTTTCCATCCCTGTCAACCTACTGGTGCTAAACGTAGGGAAAGGAGGGAATGATCCAATGCACAACTGTGTCTGAATAATCATCCCATTCCCCCATTAAGTAAGCCAATAATTGCCCATGATAATTATTCATAACTGGTTGGTGATTTGGAACATGAATTTTATTTTCCATATCTTGGGAATGTCATCATCCCAACTGACGAACTCCATCATTTCTCAGAGAGGTAGGTTGAAACCACCAGTCATGCAGAATGACTGCTAAGCACCAGTCAATCCAGGCATTGCAAGATCTTCTGCCAGACCTCTCTGGACTACACTCGGCAGCTGAAAGCTGTGCCCGCGGAGCCATTCTTCCGCGAGACGGGTCGCCTGGTTGAGATTCCAAGGGGCCATCAATGAATGGCATTGAACGGGGTTCCAAGGGGTACTCTTAACCCGGGATTTAACCAACAAAAATGTGGACATATGTGCATATATGTGGATATATAAACAATATACATGGTAATTTGATTTTTTTTACTGACAATTGTCATTTATAGTTGATTTCTCGATTAGAAAATGGTGATTTGCCATAGCGAAGTGTGAGTTTACCAGAGGCTATTCGTATGCTTTGGGATGCCATTCACTTTCTGCACCTGTCCGTCACTGGTCTTGATTCGACAACTTGTCAAGTAGCAAGCCTTCCAGCAATCCAAGAAGCTGCTTTTTTTTGATCCTGGAAATTGGGATTCATGGTCAGCATCTGGGTTTACTTCACCGCTGTCTAGCCACGGCGCCATCCGGGCCGCGGCCTTAAAATCACTGATCCTCGGAAACCCTGAACTGCTGCAAGGTGGTCTCAGCTATGAGTTGGGTGTCGCAGTCATAGATCCTGCTTTTAGTCATCAACTTATGAACCAACTGCTCAGCAATTCCCAGGTGTTCTTGGTTAAATTAAATCACGTAAGAAATCCCAATGTTTCTTGTGAAAAGTAATATCTTTTTGATTAAATCCCCAGTTTTTCTTAGTTAAATCACCATTTTTCATGGGAAATCCACAGTTTTTCTTAGTTTAAATCTTGGGAAATCACCATTTTTCATAGTTTTCATCTCATCTCCCGGACACTTTTGCAGGCATCACCCCGCAGCATGTGCTGCTGCTGTTGTCGCAGGGCTGTGCTGGAGCGCTGCTGGCGCTGCAACCAGCGGCCCATGCGAAGGAGTCGGAGTCCAAAGGGGCGCCCAGCAAAGTGGGGAAGGCGTGCCAAAAACGAGCTGGCTAATGTGGATTTCATGTTGGGTTAAAGGGATTTAATGGGATGTGATTATAGTGGAAGTTAATGGGATAAAACCAACATGATAGCTGGATCCATGGGACTAGGAGTATCTGAAAAGTTGGTGGGGAAGACTTGAAATGAATAGAAACTACAAAGGGAGGTCCTACCATTTGTAGATATTAAAATGGGATAAAATTGGGTATACCCCAAAATCGACACTTGAGCAACGTTCAAAACCCTGCTGGTAGATGGTTTGTTTGCGGACTTTTCTACACTTTGGTATTATATAAGATATTAAGCGACTGCTCATATGGTCATATATAATGCTATAAACTATAAACGGCATAATGGGACATAATGAGATAATATATCATAAACTTGATATGATATTTGGGTGCATCTGAAAGTGGTTTAATATACGAGCATGTAATTTGAGTTTTTTGATAATCCAGTGGTTGTAGGGCGGTACCCACCCCATTCCCACATTATATCTATTTGTCTATAATATCATATTTACTGTATCTATCTATATAGTCTAATCAGATCAAGTCTGATCTAACCCAATCCAATCCAATCAATCTAATCAATATACATATCCGTTTGTCCATCCATCCATCCTTCTATCTATCTATCTATCTATCTATCTATCCATCCATCCATCTATCTATCTATCTATCTATCTATTACCTATCGTTATCTATCATTACTTGTCACGATCTATCATGATCTATCAGTACTGTACCTTTCAGTATCTTTCATTATACAGCATCATTTGTCATTATCCACAATTGCTGTATCCATCATTTTCTATAATTGTCTATCGTTATTAATCAGTATTTGTATGTATATGATGTAATGTTTTTCACCATCATTATTACATATTATTACATTATCTATTGTTATCTATCATCATTAACTATCAGTATATCTATCCTTACTGTATGCAGTAGTCTATTCTTATACATGTGAAGGGGTGCCTTGGATAACCAACAGAACCAGAAAAACTGGGTCAATGTTTTGAATAAACCGTCTACTGAGGTCGGCCAAAATACATCAAAATACGCCACGGGCGAAGGGTTAGTAGTTGACTGTTGTAATATGTGTTTGTTTTATGCTGTGTTCACATCATTTTGTTTACTACCCATCTAAGATTTTTTGCAGGTTACTTACTGTGTAGTTCACCATGATCAGAAAAAACAACAACGGGGACAGTTCAAAGTGGGGGCTACACCTACCCGGCAACCGACGCCCCTTGCCTACGATGCTGGGGCAAGAGCTGCGAATCATGCCTGTGATGCAGACGCAATGAATTGCTGAAGCTGTGAGGTGCATCAATGAATAAGCAAATGGTGGTTGTGACACGAGTGAAATGACATGAACATATCCATGCACAATTGACCGAATGAATCAATTATTGAATCAATGAAGAATCAGAAGTGAGTTGGTCAGTCGATGAATCAATGATTCAGTGAATCAATGATCCAGTGAATCATTGCATCGATCAATGAATCGATGATTCAGTGAATTACTGAATGAGTGAATTACTGTGTCGATGAATCAATGAATCAGTGAACAAATGACGCAGCGAATCAACGGATGGATATGGGTCGATGAATCAATGAACCGATGCATCAACGAATCGATGATTCAGTGAATCAATGAACAGTGAACTAGTTGATGATGGGTAGTTGGCATGATGTAGTTGACATAACGGTGTGAATGGTAACCATGACCATCGTCCATATCTCGGAAGTTATCTAACTAAATGTCCTTTGATAGTACATATGTCTATATCATGCGCAGGTAGTATAAACATACATATATATATATATATATTATCATTGTAAGGAGTTAATGAATGACTATATATATACACCGATACTTTCATATATATATATGTGTGTGTGTGAAAAAGTATATGAAAATGCCAATCTTCGCATCTTCCTGACTATCACCAAGGCACCATGCCACCCAATTTCAGCAGCGCCGATTCTCTGCCGCAGGACGTGCTGCTGCTGTCAGATGAGCCATGGCGTGAGGCACGCAACGAATGGCAGGCGCGCCTTCTCCTTGCACAAGGCTTGGAGATGAGGGGCTGGTGATGTGAGGGTGACCTCTGGACTGAAACGCTGGATTGGTTACAGGGAAAATCTACAGGAAACCATGGTCTTTACCACGAGTTAAAGAGAACATCGCAACTAATCCAGTGAATCAAAAGGGTGGTAAAAAAGGGTAAAAACTGGGGAAACCAACCAGTTTATGGGAACAAACATATAATTGAATATAATTGAACATAATTGATATAACTGACCAACCATACATGGCGATGGAGGAAAACAACAACCATAAGACAGCCGGGCGCGTCTGAAAATAGGGATATCGCCATTTAGCCACCAAAATACGGTTATTTAATAATTGCAGATATTCATGATAATCCGGGTTGTGGATACCCCATGTTCAAAGCCAAATGGTTTCACAATGTTTCACACACAAGAAATTGGGATTTCACATGATTTAAACTCCTTAAAAATATGTTTTTCAACAAGAAACCAAATTGGACTTGACACCAGCAGGTGGAGATTTGACCTCAATAGGTAATAAGGGGACAAGGCGATTGGTTTACCTATAGGGATACAACGAACATCAATCAAGAATACCACGAACAATTGTCAAGCCCCGGAGCATCATGGTGAGAAAAGGGAACACATCTAGTTCATGGTGTGAACCACGCCGGAGGTGACTAATTAGCGACCAACTGCTGGCCATTTTTTCTCCCAGTCTCCGAAGGATTTTGGTTCCAAGTTGCCTTGCCGTTCAGCCAGGCTATTCACTTCATGTGGTAAGTCCATTGCCAGTGGAGGCCGCCCATCAATGGGAGATCCCCAATGGCTCGATCGTTAATGGAAAATCCTCTTAAAATGGAAGATTTAAGGGGTACCCCGATATTTTTTGGAAACCCCCAATAATTCCCCCATATGTAAGTATAGATACATTCTTCGCACATACATGTACATATGCAAATACATTTGCATATGCATATGCATATAAAACTATATATATTTATGCACACGCACAGCATGTATTATCCGTATCCCCTTTCGATTCTTGTTGAAATCCTTTTTTTGTGTTCATTGGATTCAATTTTCGGATTGGATTCCTCGTTCCTTTTGCTTTTGTATCCTCGGCAGAAGGTGGTTCCATACATTGTCATTTCCAACCACATTTGGGACCATGTCGCCCAAATAACTGTCATAACTGTGATGGATTGAAATTGCCAATCAGTTATACACCGTGGGTACCTCCCAATTCACTAACAGCAGTGTGTCTCTGACTTTTTGGACTTCGTCCCCAATGAAACTCGGTGGTGTGTGGAGTCAGTGACCGTACTCCGGACATCAAGACCCACTAACAGTTGATGGTGAAGGTTTACAAATTATCCAACACTAGAAATGTTATGATCCTGGTCCTCACTGTTCGCGGGCCGGGGGACAATCCAAGTTACATCATAGGTGCCCATTGACAATTGACTTATATAGCTGGATTTCCCAGCGGTCCGCCATGTTTCATTACTGGAGTGAGGGTATCCCCATTATGGCTACCATTTTAGATTTTTAACGCCCTTTCCAGCTGCCGCGACCCCACAATGTGATGCCACTTCGCTAAGTTTAATAGTTTACAAGTAGGTTAACTGGGTTTGTGGTATAGCAACCACGGAAAAAGATTATGAGCAGTAAGATCATTTTTTGTCAGTGGGCACGTGTTTCTTTCTGGGTGGTACTATAGATACATCCATATATATATATATATGTGTGTGTGTTTTATGCCCTTTGACAACCTAACATTTAAAATCACCGTGGAAAGTGGTCATACATAGTGGGTAAATCATCTACTTTCAGGTGTTTCCAGAGCTATCATGGATTGCTAGAGGGTATCATCCCATGATTCATGTGATTCAATCCCATTTTTTGGTCCAGACGAAATCCCATAGTTTTAGATCCCACTTAAATCCCAGTACCCTCTGGTAAACAAACAGTTTGCTATTGAAAATGGCCCAGTCGAAATAGTGAGTTTTCCTAGTAATAGCATGGTGATTTTCCAGTTCGCTCTGTTAAATTACCAGAGGGTAGATCCCATTCATATCTCCATTTCTAAGCCCATTAAACCACCATTTCTAAGCCCATTAAACCACCATTTCTAAGCCCATTAAACCACCATTTCTAAGCCCATTAAACCACCATTTCTAAGCCCATTAAACCACCATTTCTAAGCCCATTAAACCACCATTAAACCACTATAAGGGTCAACCTCAACGTTGGGTGCCCATGGTGCCCATGGTGCCCATGGTGCCCATGGTGCCCTCAGATCCCGGTGCGCCTTCAACTTGCCGCGGAGCGCTCGCAGCTGCTGCAAAGTCATCGCGGAGAACGGGACGAATCTTGGAGAACGGGACGAGGAAGGGACGTTCCCAGCACGCCCAAATAATGGCGCATCACGGATAGAGTGGGGAAATATAACAGATATAAGCGGGATCTAAAACTATGGGATTTTTCACTAGATCCCTCGGGATCCCACTTAAATCCCAGTAATTTAGAACATTATTGAACATGATTTAACTAGATATCTTAGATCAATGTTGTTTTTTTTTTTATGATATGCAACTGTTTAGCATGATTTATAATTTTTGCTAATATATAGCATGCCATTGGGCCATTGCGGGGGCACTGAACCGGGAACCCGGAACATATGTTCCGGTAAATAGATATATATATATATATAATTATATGTATTATATACATAAAAATGTATAACATTATGCATATGACATTTTATATATGTACATATACATCTCTCTCTCTCTCTCTCTCTCTCTCCAACTAATTCAACCTAACTATGGTGAGTGATTGTTTTTCCCGACCAACCATGGGATAAAATGAGGGTACTTGATTCGTTGAACTGGAAGGTAGTGGTCGGAAAACGCTTCACAACTGAGTTATAGACCCCTCATAACTGATATATGTCATTGCTATACCAACATTATACCAAACATGGCAGTGGGAAAGCCGATGAAAATGGTGACAAAATACGTGTGAGAGTTTGAGCAACAGAAAAATATATCATATTTTTATAGGCAACAAACAATCATTGTTGACGGGTCGGAGGGGAAGTGACAGTGAAACAACAACTCCAGGGATCAAATGACGTGCTTCATCCAATGAACGGCACCAGGGCTGTTGAACATGGTTGGTACATGTCACATGTTATACACAATACACCCTAACATTAACCACATGATGATAGCAAATTATTCGTATACCCAACCATAGCTGTTGGTTCATGTTCATGGTTGGTTCGTGTTATACATATCTAGATTTAGACATGATGATAGCAGATCAGTATACTTGGTGGCCCATCCCACAAATCCTAAGTAGGTCATATCCCTGGTTCATCCAGTCGGATAATATCTAGGCTTACTCCACTTACAACTGGTTATTTAACATAGCCATGGAAAATCACAATTTTTAATAGGTAAACCCAGGTAAACCATCTATAAATGGGCCATTTTCCCATGGCTATGTTAAATAACCAGAGGGTACAACTGGGGTGAACTAACCTGCTTACTAAGCGTGGGTAGTTCACCACCAAGTACCCATTGGTTCCCGGTAAAACTGGAGATCCTGAGGCCTGCGACCATCTCCAGGCGAACACGGCGTCGAAACTGCAGCATTTGGAAATCGTGGGATTTCCCAAGAAATTCCGATGGAAAATCATTGGGAAATCTATATGGGATATGCCATGATATGGATTTGCACGCTTTTTTTAACCAGCGAATCCTGGAATTGTAGAAGAAAGAGGCTTTCGTTTGGCAATCTTCCCACGGTGGTTAATCCATGTTGGCCCGCCTCAAAAAGGGAACCTACTAGCAGGACATTTTTCCACCATTTGCAATGGGGCCTGTTTTTTTTTTGCAAATGCAAGATTCATTGATTTTTGGGCAAATCTACACCAGCATGTTTCGTGTAAAAGCACACTGTTTCAACCCAACAAACACATCCAAAATTCATTGATTGACGTGGGTCTGTCTCACAATGAGGTATATACCATTATATACCCACACAATTACCATGTTTCTTCGGCCAAGATGATGTTCTAAAGTACATGACAAGAAGCATTGTTTGGATTATACCATTTTTTAAAGCAACATGAGTCATAATGAGATTCTAAAATGTTTGAAACTCATGCTATTCTAAAATGTTCGAAACCATGTTTTTTCTTGTGTGTGGAAAACCCTCAAGCAAAGGGTCAGCAGGAAGGCAACAGCCCATTTGCCTATGTTGCCCAACGAAGCTATGGAAGATGTGGTGGAAGGGTTCATGGACGCATGAACCTGTACCTGCTCTCTGTATGGGATCCGGCTAACTTTTCATGCGCCCGAATCTCTGATAAAGTGCCGGGGAAGCTTGGTGGTGCGTCCACCGGGGATACCAGATTACTTCAAAATTTGCCAGGCATCATGTTGCCAGAAGCAAAATTCGCACAAGCATCCAGAGTTCGCGCAAGCATCCAGAATTCTCCAGCAGAAGCAGAGTCTTTCAGAAATCGCCAGATTACATGTTCAGAATTCGCCAGTGTACAGATTTTTCATCCCCAGATTTCAACGTGTCATCCACGATTCATGTTCACCTAGCAATCATGTCACAACCAAGCACTGAGAGAAACAGCACCATGCCGTTACCAGCCTTTTTTGTCGGTCGTTGGTTGCCTGCTGAACAGCCAGAAACTCTGATGCAGTGGTTTGCTTTTGTCCGCCTTCTTCAATTGAAATTGCACTGAACGCCGTGAAACTTCCTTTGCTTTTTGTTGGAGCAAGGAAAACACCACACCTCATTGATGACACCCACGACCCATGTACACAGAGATTTGGGCACCACGTTCCATGTCACAACCCAGCACTGAGAGAAACAGCACCATTCCGTTACCAGCCTTTTTTGTCGGTCGTTGGATGCCTGCTGAACAGCTGGAAACTCTGATGCAGTGGTTTGCTTTTGTCAGCCTTCTTCAATTGAAATTGCACTGAACGCAGTGAAGTTTCCTTTGCTTTTTGTTGGAGCAAGGAAAACACCACACCTCATTGGTGACACCCACGACCCATGTACACAGAGATTTGGGCACCACGTTCCATGTCACAACCCAGCACTGAGGGAAACAGCGCCATTCCGTTACCAGCCTTGTTTGTCGGTCGTTGGTTGCTTGCTGAACAGCCGGAAACTCTGATGCAGTGGTTTGCTGTTATCGGCCTTTTCCGTGAAACTTGCGCTGAACGCCGTGAAACTTCCTTTGCTTTTTGTTGGAGCAAGGAAAACACCACACCTCATTGATGACACCCACGACCCATGTACACAGAGATTTGAGCACCACGTTCCATGTCACAACCCAGCACTGAGAGAAACAGCACCATTCCGTTACCAGCCTTTTTTGTCGGTCGTTGGATGCCTGCTGAACAGCTGGAAACTCTGATGCAGTGGTTTGCTTTTGTCAGCCTTCTTCAATTGAAATTGCACTGAACGCAGTGAAATTTCCTTTGCTTTTTGTTGGAGCAAGGAAAACACCACACCTCATTGGTGACACCCACGACCCATGTACACAGAGATTTGGGCACCACGTTCCATGTCACAACCCAGCACTGAGGGAAACAGCGCCATTCCGTTACCAGCCTTGTTTGTCGGTCGTTGGTTGCTTGCTGAACAGCCGGAAACTCTGATGCAGTGGTTTGCTGTTATCGGCCTTTTCCGTGAAACTTGCGCTGAACGCCGTGAAACTTCCCTTGGTTTTATGCTGGAGCAAGCAACACAACGTCAGAGACATTTGCACCATGTTCCATGTCACGACACAACACCGTGGAAAACAGCACACTACATTGAGGACCATTTTTCTGGTTCGCAAAATCGTGCCCCAGCGGCTTGCTGTGTGTGGAAAACCCTCAAGCAAAGGGTCAGCAGGGGGGCAACAGCCCATTTTCCTATGTTGCCCAACGAAGCTATGGAAGATGTGGTGGAAGGGTTCATGGACGCATGAACCTGTACCTGCTCTCTGTATGGGATCCGGCTAACCCAAGAACCGGCTTGCCGTTTATCATGTCATGTCATGCATTTTCTAGGGTAGGTAACAAGGTCATACAAGGTCATGTTGCATACATGGTAGCCACATGTCACGATTCATTTCATCTCATCTCATTTCATCCTCTCCCTTCGGGTTGTATCCAAGTGTGTGCTTGTGGTTTCGCCATAATTTTGCCAAAGCGAGGTGTTGAACAATGTTTTACGTCACCTCTCCACCTGCGGCAGGGCTTTGGTAATTCCACCGTTCTGGCGCACTTCGATGGTGAGTTGCCTTCGCTGCACTGCTTGCTGCAAGGCCATAGAGTGATGTCGATGGTGGCCCAAAAAAAGATTCAGAATCTTAATGGTGAAAATGATTGATTATAAAATGATGGGATTTTGGTAAAGTAGCCTATTTTCGAAAAAACTGATATTAGGGAAAACCACCAATGTCATGGTCTAGGGTTTATTAGAGTTTACCCAGAATGTAATGTTTTTGTTGGTGTGTATCAAATGTTAAGTAAAGAAAAGAAGATGACAGAGATATGAAGTAACTCCGGTTCCAACACCAGCGCTGTCATAGCAGGGGGGGCAGCTCGGAGCAGGTTTCGAGCCTCAGTACGTCACGCTGCAGAGTACAACCTGGCAACTGCGCTGCAGTTGGGAGCAAGGTCCAAGAAAAAATCCGTGATGGAACGCAATGGATTTCTGAAAAATGGTAAGGTATACGGTATAAGCAAGAGGGTTATAGTTATTAATGAGGACGTTTGAATTCCCATATGCTGTATATCCGGTAACATGACCATTTTCGTATTTTTTGTAGGTCGCATAGTGTCACATATATCATACATATATATATATATATATATATCTATCTATGTACTTATTATCAATAACATATCATATTTATATGTTATTAATACACCAAAAAGTAACTAAATAGATAAATATTTTGTTGCATAAATATTTGGATAGAAAGATAGAAAGATAGATAGATAGATAGATAAATAAAAAAAACAATAAATCAATATATATATAGATATGTGTGTGTATATGTACAATATGTATATATATATACATATATATATATATATGATATGTGTATAATAAATAGAAATATATATATATATATACTGCATATACCCATCGCGGTGGACCCCCATGGACCTTGGGATCGGTTTAGCAGCTCCCTGAGGCACCAAGTGGCTTTGCTGATTGCTGCGGGCTTCTGCCAATTCAAGGCGCGCCAGGTCAACGGGTGCGATACGAACTGTTCGTACTCGAAAATGTTTTACAATTTTAATGGTAAAATGATGTAAAATGTGCTAACCAGACTAAAACTCAGTTTTTTTTGATGGGGGTCAGGTATCTAAGATTCACCGTGGCTATATATTGGTCGTTCTTGGAGGATCATCGCACTTGGTACATGCATATATAAATGAATGTATCTAGCAAAATCTTACCCATATTCCAAGGCTGTTCATATTCCATGCCAAAATAGCGCCGGAAGTTTGGAAAATAATGAACGACCTTTGATGGTGAGAATGAGGTTGTGTGACCCTTGTCAGGCGCACCTTTTCCCTTGGCACGTGCCGTCATGTCCAATCGCACATGTTTAACCCCGCTGAGATCCTTTGAGTCCACAGCTTCTCAAGCAATGATTTCTTGAAAACACATAAAGTCTTGTGTTTCTCTCATCAATCATCAACTTCTCTATAGGATTTTTTAAGACCATTGGATAAGCTGTTCAGCTTATTTTTTTGACGCGTTTGGCTGGCGGTTCAGCTTCCGCATCCGCAAACTGGGCCAAGTCTGGATTTCGCTGTTCTTCCTCGAACCCAAATGGTACCATATTTCCACTGAATACACTTACATTGAGTAGGATGCCACCCCTGGAGTACGATGCCCCCCTGGTATGCGTTGCCAGTCCTGCACGTGGGATTCTCAAGCATATGTTGACATCTTTTTTGATCAAATTGGGGTCAGAAATTCCATTCCATATACCCAGAGAGCATCACACTCCATCCTGCACGGCTAGCACCACGACCGAGGATTTCCATAGCCTCCACAGGTCTAAAGTATCAAAATTTGATGGAATACGATTGTATGCGCGACTCTTCAAAACGCTGGAAAAACAACGATTTCCCCCATATTCCATATTATCATATTCCAGAGCATTTTACCTCCGACGAGAAAACAAATAAAAAAAACCTCTTCAGGTTCATTTAAAAAAAGAAATGTTTTTGGCTGTATGCGACGGTTTTTCTGGTATACTATGCCTTTTGTGGAGTACGAAGATCTGCGAGTATATGTGGAGTGCGATGGGGTCCTCTGGGGTGCGATGACACCCCTCGAGCGCGATGCCACATGAGTATGCGCGGCGGGAAATCCCCTGAGAGAAGGATTCTGGGCCACAATTCCCCAAATTCAACAACAGAGCGGATGCTGGTTGTTGTAGTTTAACCGGATTTCAGCCTATTCAACAAACAAATCACACAATATTTTGAAACCCTCTCCTACTTCAGTCTCCAAAATGGGAAACTCACCTATCAGGGCACGCTTTAGCTCATCCAGGCTCCATAGCATTTCAGGAACAACACAAGGCATCGACATGGTGCCAAACAATTTCCAAATCGAGCTGAAAGGTCTTCCCACCGCAACCAGTCAATTCACAGGTGTGAAACATGTCACACACAGGAAAACAGGTTGGGAAAACAATGGGTCCAAAGAGACAGGTCTGGAGTACGATGGATTCATGATATAGGTAAATTTTCTGAATTTGCGTAACTTGGAGCTAGAATGTAACTGATGAATGACCGTAGTTATAACCCAATTAGACTAGTGAAATAACCCCAGTTAGGGGTGCAGGATTGGGGCCAAAAACATTGGTATAACTATGGTTTTAAAGCCCCATCATTTGGGATATAACAATTAGAACCACTGTTAACTGCATATATATATATTTATAAATTATTGTATATCCACATATCTATATATATATATGTTTATATATTTATATATACATATTATGACCCACTTAATTGGAATTGCACTTCAATATCATGGGACGTTGAAATTATGTGCGAACTGCTGATATGCTCGGCATATCCATCAACGGCAGGTCGCTAAGCTCTTTGCTCGATCTTTGGGAGGTCTCTTCGGAGATTTGGCATCTTTGCAAATGGATGAGGGTCATGATGCAGCATTAGCAATAACAATTCAACATGACACCCTTGAACACCAGCAAACCCTAAAAGTCTGGTTTGTGAATCGGCAATACTCCAACAGCTGCCACTGTTTGGTAAACAAGCTTCCTAAATTCAACGCTTGCATATCCAATTTTTCCCAAAGCATATAGAGACTTTGCCCAAATATGTGCAGTAATTGTTGGATGAAATCTGCATGTTTCTTATGCAAGCACATCCGAAGTCTGAAAAAGGACGACTCGGTTCTACTTGGGGGGCGCAGTTGAGTTTACTTTCATGGGTATCACCATGTTTATCAACCCCGTGGGTAGAAGTACATCCCTTGTAGCTATAGTTATATTGAAACATCCACTTAGTTCACTGGAACTGCATTTCCACGATATACCATATACCATACATATTTCATGATATCCACACCATATACCATATATATATATATATATTATATTGATGTTATATATATATTATGTAATACGTAAATAAACAAATAAATAAATAAATAAATAAATAATTAAATAATATATATATATATTTATATTTAACATTCCATATGTAACATATATTATGTCCCCAATGACCCTGCTGGCATTTTCCCAAGGCCTGGGACGTCTCGTTGGGCCTCCGCTGGCGCAACGTCTCGGAGCTGCTGAGGACGCATCTGACGACAGGATCTTCGCTGCACGCGAAGCGCTGTGGAAAATCGCGACGCATGGGGCGGATGGGCCATGGGACGGCTATTTACTGGGAATATAAAGGGAAAAATATATAGATAGGTAGATAGATAGACATTTGTATACATATATATATCTATATATATATATATATCATATATATATATATATCATATATATATATATCTCATATATATATATATATATCTCATATATTTCATATCATACATAGACATAATTTTATATCATATATATATATATCATATATATATATATATCATATATATATATCATATATATATATATATCATATATTTCATATCATACATAGATATAATTTTATATCATATATATATATATCATATATATCATATATATATATCATATATATCATATATATATATATATATATCATATATATATATATATATCATATATTTCATATCATACTTAGATATATTTTTTTTATCATATATATATATATATATCATGTATGTATATATATATATTGCATATATATATATATATATATATATATATATATTTTTTATCATATATATATATATACGTATGTATTATATACATGGTATTAGGTATATGGTGTGTATAGGGATTTCACTGAGATATTTTGCGAATATAATGGGAACATATTGGAAATATATGGGGACACAATGGAATAGAATGGGATATAGGGATATGATTTGATGGGATATAATTGATTAGAATGCTACGCTGTTACGGTTATATATATATAATCGCCACCATCCCCGCAACTATCAGGTTGAGCTTGCCATGAGTTGGGGGTTGGAAGGCTGTAATTCTTGGGGTCTCTTGACGGATTCATTTGGGATTCAACCAGCTCAATGGATTGCGGCAAGCATTTGCGGGAAACTATTGTGTTGAATGGTTTTTACATACATGTTTTTAGCCCCAAAGTGTTGTGGGGTCCTTTTTTTTCTGTTTCCATAAGCCAAGTCTGGGAAAATGCCTCCAGCTCCCGAGGGCCTTGGAGGGTCAGGGATGAGCCTGTTGGTGATTCTCATCTGCCAGCGGCTCAAGTAAAACCAAAAAAAAGCTTTTGAAAACCCGCTGGAGGAAATTCAGCCGTCTCCTCAGACTGGGCGTTTGGATTGCCCTGTGGAATTTTGGATGATTGGGTGAAATCTAGCTGGGGGGAAGATAGCAATTACTGTTTGATAATTTGGTTACATTTTATATATAAATAATGTTATATATGGTATTTAATTACACACATCGTGATGATGTTGACACTACATGGAGTTTCCCTGAAATGGGGGTACCCCGAAATCATCCATTTTAATCGGATTTCCCATGATAGACCGGCCACATTGCCAAGGCGCTTATGGTGCCGTCTCTCAGGGCTGAGAATCCCTTTGATCAGTAAATGATCACGACCTCACATCGCAACCGAACCCTGGAAACATGGTTAGTACTGGGAATTATCCCAGCCGACCTTTTCAGGTTCGTGAATTGTTAAAGTTTACCCAGTATGTGAGTTTTCTGGATGTTGTTTGTTGCCTTTCCTGCTTGATCTTTGCATTTCGTATGTTTCATCCACCATGTGGGATTCCATAGAGGCTCCCGGAATCAGCAAATCCATCAGATTTGTAACCATGTAAAGATAGCAGCTTGTAGTCCCACCCCCTAAAATATGTTGATACATGTTGAACAAACAACTCCTCCAGGTTAAAGTAACAATGCTCTCTGTTTGAGCAAGTTTGCCCTCCCAAGTTTCCCTTCCTTCATTGTTTGAAGTTGTTGGTTTGTTGCACAATTGAATACTAGTTGGTGGT